CCAAAGTACCACTTCCTCAGTTTTGGATAAATTTCTTATTTAACTTTCTTATGATGAAAGCTTGTAAATCGACTTTAAATAAATACCATAATATGTATATATATATAAAGTTAAATGCATCATACTACCTCCGTATTATGTTTAATTTTTTACAACTTTAGCGTATTATTTATAAGATATAAAATATTCCAAATTTACAAAAATATGAAATAGAGGTAGTATATAGAAAATAAAAATGCTATATATACTTCCAAGTTTATTTTAGAAGTATGTAGTGGATCACCAATGACAAATGTATACAGTTAAGATGTTACGGAGTAATTGACTTGATTTTATTTCGAAGTTATTGAAACATATATTTTTTTTACTACTTCGTATGTAATAAAAGTCACTATAGTTGTACATAGATTATTTAAAAGAAAGCTTAAAAATACACTTGAATAAAGACTGAGCAAAATATTGTAGTTGTCACTATAGCTCTCAATCAACTATTTGTCAATTAAAAATAATACAAGTATGACAACAATTTAAGACTGAGAAAAACACACTTGAACTGAATCTAATCCATACTTGAAATTGGGTGTTTCAAATTTTATATTCCTCCCTAATAGCTTAACATAATTACTTGAAAATAATGAGTGTGGATTAAATTGATCTAAGAGAGTAGGATTATTTTTCATGATAAGACATTTTAAAAACAAACTCGAAATTGATTTTACCACCTATTAGACCGGGCAAATTATAAACCCTAACCATGAGATCGAATATGACCCTAGAGGCAGCAACAAAAACGGACGTTTTAGGAAACTAAGCTTCCCGAAGAAAATAATTACAAATTTAGTTGCGTGGCAAAAGTATTTACAAAAATAAGCTTCTGGGGTAAACCGCTGCCTCGGGCAGCGTTTTACCCTCTATTTTTTTAAAAAAAAAAATCTGCTACAAAAACGCTGCCCCAGGCAGCGTTTTTATAGTTTGACTTTTTTTTTTCCTCGTTTATTTTTTTTTAAAATTAATTAAAAAAAGGCAACAGCATAAAACGCTGCCCCAGGCAGCGTCTTATCTTGTTAATGAAACGCTGCCCCAGGTAGCGTTTCTGTCTGGTTGTAAAACCAGAAACTCGAGCTTCGTTTTCAATCACGTTTGCTCTTCATTCCTTCGCCTCCTTCGCAATCCTCTTCCTTCCCTTCCCAAATTTCCTCTTCAATCCTCTTCAACCCAATTTCGTATTACATCCAATTCAAGGTATGGTTAAATATTAGTTGAGTATTTACAAATTGTTCGTTATGTTTGTTGAATTCTTGAATTGTTGGTTAGTGTTGTTGAATTATTGAATTGTTGGATATTGTTGTTGAATTGTTGGTTAGTGTTGTTGAATTCATGAATTGTTGGTTAGTGTTGTTGAATTGTTGGTTAGTGTTGTTGAATTATTGGTTATTGTTGAATTTCTTGAATTGTTGAATTTCTAGGGTTTATGTTGAATTTTGGGGGTTTTTGTTGAATTTAGGGGTTTAGGGTTGAGTTGATGAATTGTGATTGTTAAATATTAATTTGGATAATGTAGAATTGTTGGTGTTGAAATATTGAAGATGTTAAGTATTTGAATTTCTAGAATTATTTCTTGTTAATGGTGACCTAGTGATGCTTAGTTGTTCCAAAGTGGTTAGTTGGATGTGATTTAGAGATGGATTAGTGTGTTTTAGTGTAATGTGTTTTGGTTGTTGTGTAGAATATGGCCGCACAGAATGTAGTTTTGTTGTGCCGGTGGGGAGGTGAATTTTTGTTTGACGGACCTCGTGTCGAGTATAATGGTGGAAATATGGAACCACTGACACTTGAACCGAACATGACCTTCAGTGATTTCATGAACGAGGTCCATAGTAGCGTTAGTTCAAACCCGGGGAGTGTTGAACTAAACATTAAAATGAGGTTTGAGACCGGGAATGGGGTTCAAGTGTTACCTGTGTCCTCGAATAAGCATTTGAAAGATTTAAGGAGCGTTGTAGCGTTGAAGGGTGTTCCCACCGAGATTTATGTGGAGATGGTGCCTATTTGTACCCAACAAAGTACCAGGGCAGAACCACATTCTACATTTATTTCCGGTAACAACACACAGCCGCAAGTGCCCTCACACGACACTCCCCCGGCTGAATATGGGATGGGATCTTTTAGTCGAATGTTGAATGACGATCAATTTCACATGCCGTTCAGCTCTCACATAGCTTCACCTGTACATGGGGCGACGTATACAGCAATGGCCGGGCAACCTGGGTCTTCGACGTATAGATGAATAGTAAACACTTACGTTTTAATTCGTGTAACAGTTCTGGTCTTGGGAGCATCTCCACGTCGGGCGGCCAGGTAGGCCAGTCAGGCATCGACCGGGGGAGCTGGATCAAGACGAGCAGTACCAGGCGTACGACGCTCCCCCTCTTCCTACACCTGACGAGGCATACGGATGCAGGTGGGTTGCCCCTAGACTCACACTTTCCCATGCGGCGAGGAGTCTACCGTACTACCGAGACGCCTTCGATCGACTTACTGAGGACCAGGTATTTCTTCACTTGTACTCATTATTCTACTGTCTGATGTGTTTAGCGTTCACTGACGTTTTTTTGATGTGTATGTGCAGGTGACATGGGATCCGTACCTTCCTGAGTTAGTGGAGGCCATGCCTGGTCATTTGCTGGAGCATGAGGCAGAGTGGCGTGCTCGGACCCCGGTGATCTGTTTTGAGGTTGTGGAGAGTCACCTCCCTGACCGGGTCTTGCGGCAATATGGGATACGTCAGCCGGTCCCTCAGCCATGTGACACCAGCACTCGTTTGCACGGGGTTGACCGACGAGGAAAGGCAGAGACGGATTGGTCGGTGGAGCATCGTGCGTACGTAGAGCTCTGGCATCGCCGACTGGAGTTCGTTGTGGGCGGTGTACCGATGCAGGGCGTCCTCCAGCCTCACGATCCGTACATGGTCTGGTACCAGCGGATTACCCGGCGTTTCATCAACCCCAGCTACACACCTCCCTCCACCCATTACCATCCAGCATATGACGTGATTTATGGATATGTGAGTTTCACTTCCAACCGATTAATTTTCATCTCTTTTTAGGTTTCTATGCATAACTGATCAATGATTATTGCAGGCGGCATACATGGCATCGATGGTTGACGCGCTGTCCCTTAGCCTGGCTGACGGGCCCACCGGGAACGAGGTCCAGCGGGTTCGGGATATGGGCATGGCCAGCTTGCGTCGATATGGACACGACTACCTCGTCCCCTAACGGGACACGTATGATGGCCACTCGATGCATTCGCAGTTCGAGCTCGGACAGAGTAGTTGTGGAGGTGATTTTACGACGCCGACATTCTCAGAGGACTACACCTTCCACAGCACTGCACCGTCCGGCTCCCAGGAGGTGCCAGATACCAGCCAGCTGACTCCCCCGCCGCCTCTAGACCCATTCACCACCATTACTCATTACAGGCGGCGGCGTGTCAGACAGAGGGCCGAGCTACCTGACCTAGATCAATTGCCCCGGATAGATGAATCGGGATAGTGTTAGCTTAGTTATTTCATGTAGTAAAATTTTTGTATAGATTAGGTATATAACATTTACATTTCTAATATAATAAATGTTTTTCGGTCAACATTTGTGTGTTATGTTCTTTGTTTCCCAATATGTTTTGATTTATGTATATATTGACTTGTCAACGGTGGTGGTGGAAGGTAGTGGTGTGAGGTGGAAGGTTGTTGGAGGTGGTGGTGGTGGAAGGTTGTTGGAGGTGGTGGTGGATGGTTGTTGGAAGGTGGTTGTGGTGGTGGGAGGTCGGGGTGGAAGGTGGTGGACGGCGGTGGAGGAAGGTGGTGGAAGGCGGTGGAAGCCGGTGGAAGGCGGTGGTGGAAGGTGGTGGTTGGAGGTGGTGGTGGAAGGTGGTGGTTGGAGGTGGTGGAAGGCGGTGGTGGTGGAAGGTGGAAGGTGGTGGAGGTGATGGTTGGAGGTGGTGGAGGGCGGTGGTGGAAAGGGGTTGGAGGTGGTGGAAGGTGGTGCTGGAAGGCGGTGGTGGTGGAGGGCGGTAGTGGAAAGGGGTTGGAGGTGGTGGAAGGAGGTTGGGGGTGGTGTTGGAAGGATGTTGAGGGTTGGGGCAAGAAACTGGTTTGGTGCTGCCAACCAGGTAAAACGCTGCCTGGGGCAGCGTTTTACCTGTAAACATATACAGATAAAACGCTGCCCCAGGCAGCGTCTTATGTTCAAGCATAAGACGCTGCCTGGGGCAGCGTTTTATGCTGTTGCCTTTTTTTTTAATTAATTTTAAAAAAAAATAAACGAGGAAAAAAAAAAGTCAAACTATAAAAACGCTGCCTGGGGCAGCGTTTTTGTAGCAGAATTTTTTTTTAAAAAAAATAGAAAGTAAAACGCTGCCCGAGGCAGCGGTTTACCCCAAAAGCTTATTTTTGTAAATACTTTTGCCACGCAACCATTTTTGTAATTACTTTCGTAACGAAGCTTAGTTTCCTAAAACGTCCAACAAAAACCAGTTGTTTTTCACACACCAAAATAAAATATGGTACATAATTTTTAAATTTATTTATTTATTTTTAAATAAGTTTCAAATATGAATGTACTTGTAATTCAATACATATTGTGAAATACGGAGTAACATTCATGAAATACCATAGAATTGAATTCTACTTTATGTTAACTTCCCCAAACATACCAAAATAATGTAAGTAACCATGATTTCAATGCTAGAGTAGATGAACAAGTAAAAAAAGTAAAAGGAATAGAACACAAACAATCAATCATCACTCTCAATGATGATGCAAACAATAGACCAACGGTTAACAAGGTGACACTAATCAACAACAACCCAATATTTCCATCAAAATTAAAGAAAGTAAAATTTCCATTTTTTAAAATTTTTTATTATTTTTTTATTAATTTTTTTTTAAGAATAAAAAAAATCAATCTTTAAATTCAGTTGAATATCACTTGTCAAATACACCAACCCCTTTTCAGCCAAACCCTACTACCCTCCCTTTGAAAGTTCCTTGTCCTTCATTCCTTTCTTTTTCTTATTACTTTTTTTTTTATTATTTTTTTTAATTTTTTTTTATTTTCTTACTTTCTTTCATTATTATTCAAAAACTAGCTAGTTTACAAATTAAAAACAACAAAAAATAAATAAATACTTAGAGAGAGAAAATGGGGAGAGGAAAAATAGAAATAAAGAGGATAGAAAACTCAACAAATAGGCAAGTAACATTCTCAAAGAGAAGAAATGGAATTATAAAAAAAGCTACTGAAATTACTGTTCTTTGTGATGCTAAGGTTTCTGTTGTAATCTTTGCTAACAATGGCAAAATGCATGCTTACCATAGCCCTTCTACCACGTATGTCATCGTCTTTAATCTTTTTATTTCCGATCCTTTACTTTATTATTATTACTCCCTCCGTCCAGAATTAATAGCCGTGTTGATAGTTTATGTACTTTAAACCCGTAATAGTCAGAGTTTTTAATTGATTTTATTTTTCTTTGAAGGTTGGAACATATACTGGATAAATACCAGGAATTTTCCGGGGCGAAGCTGTGGGATGCTAAGCATGAGGTGGGTTGATGAATTAATTATTGCATACAATTTAATTTTTGTAAAAAAAAAAAAAAAAAAAAAAAAAAAAAAAACTCTTTAATAGGTGTTTGTTATGTTTTTAAATTTATTTTTTTGGGATTTTATAGAAATATATGTAAGAAAATAGGAAAATTGATCATATGAACAGATCTATAAATGGGTTGGGCTTGATTTAGTATTAAGCTTTATATTAGTATTTTTATGGTGTTTTTGACAAATATGGAAAGCTATACTACCCTAGATATCAGATCTGAATACTTGTTATGTTACATCCTGTAGATCTCTTCTATTCAAGTTATTTTTTTCCATTTTATTTTATTTTTAATTTTTTTTTAAAAAAATTATTGTATCATAGATCTATGCAAGTTCAACAAAATATCCATTTTATTTTTTTATTATTTTATTTTTTTATCAAATTCTTTTTGTTGATTTTGTTTTTGGTCATCCCTAACCCTATTTACAATTAAAAAAACATAAGTTGTATTCATATATCATTTTTATTATAATTTTTTTAGTTCTTCTTTGCTTACACATTTTTAGGTAAATTTATATTGGCAAAAGTAAAGGGTTGTGTACTAATTAATTGCTAATTTTATTAAATAAGTTAATAAAATGTTTGTGTTTCTAAGCTAATTATTATTTTTCATTATTGACAAGCTAATTTATGGTTCATGATGCAAAATTTGTGTATTCTCAGAATCTCAAAAATGAGATAGATAGAGTCAAGAAAGAAAATGATGACATGCGGATTGAACTCAGGTAATTAATTAGAATCAACCTCTTAATTTTTTTGGGATTATGAAGTATTAAAATTAATTTTTTAAACAAAACTTGATCCTCTATAATTCGTAGCATGATATGGAGTACTCGAAAATAACATAATCTAACAAGGTAAAAAAAAAGAATTAATTGATCATGTGTTACATTTATAAACTTTATGTAGGCACTTGAATGGAGAGGACATTGGATCTTTACAATACCCAGATTTGATTCGCCTCGAAGAAGCTCTGGATATTGGCACTGCTAGAGTTAATGACAGGAAGGCAAGTATATGATTTTATTGATTTATAAATGAAATAAAAGATGAGATTATATTGAGTCTATTATTTACCAAGGAGTATTTATGTTACTTATTTTTGTTTAATTGTTTTTGACAGATAGAAATTTATACAATGCACAAAAATAATGTAAGTGTAAAATTTAATTATTACTGACCTAATTGCTATTTATTGTTGAACTACTCTACTGTTATTTGATTTGGATCATCAAATATAATTCATTGAGATTTATTGCTGAATTATCAATAATGATTTATTGGCCTATCTGTACATTGATTTATGAATGAAAATGTGATTGTTGAAAATTGATCAGACATCGATGCTTGAGGAGGAAGAGAAACAGCTCACTTACATGTTGGTAAGTTTTTTGATTTCCATAATGCTACTTTCATGCTTACTAATGCTTGGTGAGCACGAGGATAATGATTTATGAAAAACACACAAATACCTGTTTAGTTAATTAATTATGTGATACATAGTAAAAAAAACTAAACGCAACCTAATTAATTAACTATGAAGAAGATTATCACAGGGCATCCTAAAATTAATTTCGGCCAATGTACTTAAATCTAACAAAATAAACACACGATGTTGTGTGATGAGACTTTTGCATATAATTAAGCTTAAGTTATTTCTTGGACACTTGGTCATCACTATGCTGGAACAATTTTGTTACCAATTTATCATTGTATGTTGTTTCCTGGGCCTTATAATTGTTTTGTGCTATATACACTATTACATACCTTGGTCTAAAACCAATCTAAGTGTTTTTGTTTTTATAAACTTTTTAAGTTACTTATTATGTTATATATACCTCATATGAATGTATGTTAAATTAATTAGTATGTATTTGGTTGAATGATTTCCTTATTTTGTGTTTTGCATTCTTGTACATACACAGAACAAGCAAGAAAATGAAATGATGGATGGTGGTGTTCGCCATGCTCCACAAGAGAGGGACTTCCATTATCAGATTCCTTATGGTTATCGATTGCAACCAAACCTACAAGAAAGGATATAGATGATCTGATGTTCGGAAAAATGCTGCTATCGATGGCAGCTTAGCTTGCATAGCTAGCTAGTTACTATATATACTTCTCCGGCCATACCATATATACCCGGAACAAGATCCTAGCTAGCTAGCTACAAGCGTGTGTGTGTTGTAATAATTGAAGGCTATCATCATTGCCTTGATACTATGTATTTGTGTGGGTGTATCGTGTATGTGTGTGCTTGTTATATATATCAATAGCTTGTTTGTTCGTTCCAAAAATCTAAGAACCTAATAAGATAATTAAGCAAATGAATTGTGGTTATGTAAGTCATGGCTGATTATGATGGTTAATAATCTTAATATATTCTATATTCCTTTGTTAAATCATATTCTAACCCTAATTATTTCCACAAAATATATCTTTTTAATTAGGCAAATAATTGAAAATTGTGGCTTTTTTTTTTAGCATGCATTGGCTATTTAATTTTGTTATTCTCCCTTCGTGTTCTAATGAAAAATTTGCAAATTGCAGCCATTTAAAGTTCTTATTTTGCAAATTGCAGACATTTAATTTTTTTTTTTGCAAATTGCAGTTCAAAAGTTCGTATAAATTGTAAATTGCAGCCCGATTCAATTTTTTCATCGGTTTACATGTTGAAAAATCTTCGGTTAAGATTTTAGGGGTCATTTTAGCCCTTAGGGGCCCGAATTGAGCTCGGAATTAGCAAAAAAAATAACGTAAGTGTCTCATATTTACAGTTTCCCACAAATCGATACAATTTTGTTATGCAAAACGAGATACTCACGTTATTTTTTTGCTAATTCCGAGCTCAATTCAGGCCCTTAAGAGCTAAAATGACCCCTAAAACCTTAACCGAAGATTTTTCAACTTGTAAACCGATGAAAAAATTGAATCGGGCTGCAATTTACAATTTATACGAACTTTTGGGCTGCAGTTTGCAAAAAAAAAATTTAATGGCTGCAATTTGCAAATTTTCCTGTTCTAATTTATTTTAAATGTATGTCTCTTTCAATTTAGCGAGACCATAATTTTTTATTTTATTTTTAATTATTTTTTTTTATCAATGTTCGTATGGTTGTGACTTGTGAGACCGAGTTTATTTCTTTCAGGACAATTACGAGATCATAATTTACGATGAAGTTTTGATTAAGGTTGATTGTTACTTCATATTATTAGCGACATAAATATGATGATAATACTACATACATCTTTTTCTATGTGTGTGTGGAGAGTGCATACAATGAATTGAAGGTGTGATCAAGTGAGCGCATGGATAATGCAATGTATGGCTTGCACGCATAGAGCAACCGCACACATGATACATTGGTCACTCATTCACTGATTATGACTAAATGACTTGTTTATCCAACTAAGTATCGTAGTATGTAGATCATTTGGTGTCTCAATCTATCCTTAGACTACTTATATATATAGTTACATCTAATAATTTTAAGCACATATATAGGTACTTGCAAGATGCAACAAACAAGTTATAGGATTAATGCTAAAAGGTTATGCGATTCTTAGGGTTGTCCTTAGTGATATAGTCACGTTGATTTTTAACTATTTTAAGTTGAATGTTTTGAAATTAATAGTTCATTGATGTAAAGTTTTTTTAAAAAAATGTCCTTGCGCACATGGAATACCAATGTACTTATCAACATCGGGTCAATCATACCAGGTCTAAGCGGTTCGTGTTAGCCTGACCAATTTGATTCCGATATGCTAAAATAAAAAATTAAAAAAAAAAAGGAAAAAGAGTCAAGGCAATAATCTTCGTTAATTCATTTATTACAGAGGATTCGAACATGTACTACATCTGAAAATGAGTCTTACTCTTGGCTTATCCAATCTTTTTTCCAAAATTGTACAAAGTCAATGTCTAAATTTTTGTACCAAAAAGAGTTTCAACAAGCTATACTATTTATACAAATATACAAAATAACACACAATTATCTAGCTTAATTATCACACATCTATGTGATTTGATGGTGAATAATATGTGTGACTTTCATACAAGAAATTGTAAAATGATTTGAATGGCTAGGTCAAAACCCTAACTCTCCCTACGACTAAGACCTTCATTTTTCACAGAACACAAAACATACCAATCAATATGACACGTGTCAATTGATAAACACCCCCTCCAATCTAGTTCATCAATATTCTCGAAAAATAATCGGACAAAGATTAAATAATCCTAAACTCTTGTCTAAAGTACTAATAATAAACTTTTTTTAAAAAACAGCATTTAACACACTAGTAAAAAAGATGATAAAGAAACTACCACAAAACAGATATTGCACCATTTGCACACACAAAAAAGTACATCTAAATGATGCAAAATGACCAACGGTTAACTGTTGGAGACAGCGAAAGTATAATGGGTGATTGGATCAGATTAATAAGTAATATTTATAAACTATATGAGAAACGAGTAGAGCTGCCGCACCTACTTATATTTATTCTTGAAAATGAAATAATACCGAAGAATATGTTTTCTTTTATTATATTCTCTTATATTGAAAATGATATCAATTACAGTTTATATAGGAAAAACTCATCCTAAATAAATAGTGATAAAAAATTTAGGAGCATTATATGCTTTACATTTTATTTAGGTTTTACTATTTTATTATTAGTTTTTCTTAATTTTACTTATCTTAACATAGTTTATACATTGCACAATTAACTTTTATCTCACAAATTCCCCCTCTTAATTTGCAATGTTTAATAATGTTTTAAATTTCTCGAACTTTTCTGTTGTTATAGCTTTGGTAAGCATATCTGCTGGCTGATCATTAGTGTTGATGAACTCGAGCTGTATTTCTTCTTTATTGACTAATTCACGTATAAAATGATGTCGAATCTCAATGTGTTTACTTCTAGCATGAAACACTGGATTCTTTGTCATAGCGATAGCAGACATATTGTCACAAAATATCATCGTGGGGCTTTCTTGCTGAAGACCCAAGTCTTTTAAAATTCTTCGTACCCAAACTGCTTCACATGCTGCTTCAGTAGCAGACATGTATTCTGCTTCTGCAGAAGAAAGTGCTATTGTTTGTTGTTTCTTTGAATTCCATGATATTATCTTAGTGCCTAAGAAAATGTAGGCTGATGTACTCTTACGATCATCAATGGAACCAACCCAATCACTATCAGTATAACCAATCAATTCTTTATCAACTTCACTCTGGTATCTTAGACCTACTTTCTTAGTACCTTGAAGATATCGTAATATCCTTTTTGCGGCAGCAAAATGTAATTTGCTAGGATTATTCATAAATCTTGATACCTTATTCACTGCTTGAGCTATGTCAGGTCTTGTATGAGTTAAGTATAGTAAAGAACCTACCAAACTTCTGTACACATTACCATCGACCTTACTAGCTCCATCATCTTGACTTAATTTTTCATTCAATGCCATAGGAGTATTCACTGGTTTGCAATTTTCCATATGAAATTTCTTTAGGAGATCCACAGTATATTTTTCTTGATTAAAGAAAATTTCTCCCTTGGTTTGCGTAACTTGAATTCCAAGAAAGTATTTCATGAGTCCTAAGTCTGTCATTTCAAATTCTTGCATCATAGACTCTTTGAACTCATTAATGAGTTTCATATCATTTCCAGTGTAGATTAGATCATCAACATAAAGACAAACAATGAGAAAATGCCCATCATTGTTTTCTTTAATGTAAAGTGATGGTTCACTTGGACTCTTTTTGAATCCGTTATTCATAAAATATTTGTCAATTCTACTATTCCAAGCTCTTGGCGCTTGCTTAAGCCCATAGAGCGCTTTATGCAAACGATAAACTTTATCTTCTTGCCCTTGAATTTCATAACCTTGTGGTTGCTCCACATACACTTCTTCTTCTAATACACCATTCAGAAATGCGGATTTCACATCAAGTTGATAAACATATAATTCTTTCTGTGCAGCTATGGCTATCATTGTCCTAATGGTTTCAATACGAGCTACTGGAGCAAATGTTTCATTGAAATCAACTCCGGATTTTTGAGCATATCCTTTGACAACAAACCTTGCTTTGTGTTTTTGAATATTTCCGTCTTGGTCTAGTTTTGTTTTATAAACCCATTTTAGACCAATAATATCTTTACCTTCAGGGTAATCAACAAGCTCCCATGTCTTGTTTTTCTCAATCATAGCAATTTCTTCATCCATTGCTTTTATCCAAACATCGTCATTTGATGCTTCTTTATAGCTAGAAGGCTCACTTGCAAATAAAGCTAATGTTTCCGTGTCATTTGCTTTAGATAAATAGCACTCGTAATCATCCAAATAAGAAGGCCTTTTTCTAATTCTTCCTGGTTGATTTAAAAGTGGAGAAGATGGGGTTTCTTGTGTTTGTGTATTTGACACATTATTAGGAGATCTATGCGGACTGTTTGCTTCATTATTTATTGTTGTTGGAGCTGGGTTACGAGAATTTATAGCTTCTTCTTGCCCAGGAAAATGAACTATTTCATCATCCCATTTCCATTTTGCCGATTCTTCAAATATAACGTCTCTGGAGACTATTAGCTTCTTAGCTTGTGGGTCTAAGAGACGATAGCCTTTTGATTCATCACTATATCCCACAAAAAGATACTTTCTCCCTTTTGGATCGAACTTGTCTTTACCTTGATCTTTGTTTAAGGCATATGCAATACATCCAAAAACTTTTAAATGACTAACAACCAGTTTTCTACCATTCCAAGCTTCATAAGGAGTCTTGTTACTAACTGCTTTAGTTGGTGAACAGTTGAGTATGTAAATAGCTGTATTTACTGCTTCAGCCCATAATGTTTTAGGAAGAGTCTTTTCTTCCATCATGCTTCTTACCATTTCTACAATTGTGCGATTCTTTCTCTCTGCTACACCATTCTGCTGAGGTGTTCGTGAGACTGTCAATTGTCTTTTTATTCCTTCATTTCTACAATGCTCCATAAAAGGGTTATATATAAATTCACCCCCTCTATCAGTTCTCAATGTCTTTATCGTATAACCACTTTGTCTTTCAACTAATGTTGTAAATTGGAGAAATACATTGAAAGCATTTGACTTTTGATCAATAAAATATATCCACATCATACGAGTGTAATCATCGACAAATAATAGAAAATACCTCTTATTTTGTAGAGAAGGATTTCTTGTGGGGCCAAATATATCTACATGTACTAATTCAAGAGGAGCTTTAGCTCTCCATGAAGTTTTTGGGAATGGAAGATGATGCATTTTTCCATATATACATCCTTCACAAACTTGAATATTTTTATCAATGTGTGGTAATCCCACGACCATGTCTTTTTGTTTCAATAATTGTAATCCTTTTTGGTTCAAGTGTCCATATCGTAAGTGCCATAGATAAGATTCATCCATAACATTTGCTTGCAATGCCAGCTTCTTTTGTGGCATATGAAGCGGGAAAACTTTATTATCAGCCATTTGTACTTTCGCCAATATAGTACCAGATTTTTTGTCCGTAACAATGCATTCCCCATTGTCAAAATTTGCTGAATATCCTCGTTGAACAAGTTGCCCAACACTTAGGAGATTATGTGTCAAATTAGGCACATAAAGAACATCATGTATGTATTTTGTGTTATTTGCTTTGCTATTAACAGCAATGACTCCTCGTCCTTCGACGTTTGCCTTTTTTCCATCACCTAAGGTGACTTGATTTTCTACACCTATATCTAACTTGATGAACATGTCCTTATTTCCTGTCATGTGGTTGCTACAACCACTATCGAGAAACCATAAATTGCTAGACTTATTTTGTGCATCCATGCACGTAAGAAATAATTGTTCACCTTCAGCGTTAGCGGTGAAATTCGCTTCATTTGTATTATTTCCATTTTGATGCCAACAATCTTTTTGAGAATGATTTGAATTACGACATCTCTTACATTTAAAATAACATTCAGATGATTGATGGTTAGACTTACCACAAATACGACAAGAATTATTTGACCTTTGTTGATAATTTTGATATTGTCCGCGACCTCTTCCTCTACTTTGTCCTCGGCCACGGCTAAAATTTTGGGTACCACGGCCTCTACCATATTGATGTCCTCTTTGGTTTCCCCCTCTTTTCTCTGACTCTCCTTGATATTGTTTGTTTGATATGTTAAGTTGGGATTGAAACGCTTGATCTACAAGTTGATCGGTATTTGCATTTCTTTTCAATTTTTGATCATGTGATTCCAAAGATCCCATCAACTCATGCATTGTGAGAGTTGACAAGTCCTTAGACTCTTCTATTATAAATGTGGCAGAGTTATATTTTTGTCATACTTCTTAATACTTTTCGAACAACTCTTTTTTCTTCTAATGTATCACCGAGACTTCTTATTTGATTAACTATTTCCGTGACTCGTGAAAAATAAACTTGGATATTTTCTGTCTTTTGCATTTCCAGGTTATCAAAATCTCTCCATAGATTTTGTAATCTAACAGCAACAACTTTTTCATTTCCTAGAAATCCTTGTTTTAATGTATCCCAAGCTTCTTTGGATTTTTTCAATCCATATAAGCGGGGAAATATAGTTTTACTCACGGCTGCATGAATATATCGTAAAACAAGTGCATCTTTTTTCTTGTTTTCCTTGTGTAGTTTTTGTTGTGCTTCATTAGGATTTTCTGAAAGGTCTTCATAGCCTCCTTCCACGAGCTCCCATAAATCTTGGGATATAAAGAATGTTTGCATTTGACTACTCCAATAGTCATAATATTCTCCATCAAAGATAGGAAGTGTCGGTTGGGAATAAGAGAAAAATGGTGTTGATGTACTGGAAGCCATGATGTAGTTATTCCGGCTCTGATACCAAATTTGTTGGAGACAGCGGAAGTATAATGGGTGATTGGATCAGATTAATAAGTAATATTTATAAACTATATGAGAAACGAGTAGAGCTGCCGCACCTACTAATATTTATTCTTGAAAATGAAATAATACCGAAGAATATGTTTTCTTTTATTGTATTCTCTTATATTGAAAATGATATCAATTACAGTTTATATAGGAAAAACTCATCCTAAATAAATAGTGATAGAAAATTTAGGAGCATTATATGCTTTACATTTTATTTAGGTTTTACTATTTTATTATTAGTTTTTCTTAATTTTACTTATCTTAACATAGTTTATACATTGCACAATTAACTTTTATCTCACATTAACAAGGTGACACAAACTATCAAATGCCTAATAAAAAAAGCAACAGAAAACCATGACATCAAATCATACTATGTTATACTTTCAATACGGAGTATGTAGCTCCGTTTTATAATAGTTGAACCATTTTGATTTTTTACGAGTCTAAGAAAACTACAGAATACTTCGTACTTTGTATATTTTTGAAGTCACCACATAATTTTATTTACACTTTGTATACAAAAATATGGTTATGTAAAAAAAAAAAAAAAATCCAAAATGATTTACTAGTCCGTACCCATAAGCAATCAGTAAATTATAAAAACTATGTACTTCATATAGATTACCAACAATGGTTTTTCCTAGTTGCTAAAGGCATAGAGTCTTGTAGTGGAAATTATAATAAGGATTAGTCTCAAAATATGTTTTTAAAATATCAACTTCATATAATACGAGTATCAATTAAAAAACTGAAAACTTGTGTGTGCAATTATTTTAAAACAAAATAATTATATGGATTGGAGTTAATATAATTCAAATAAGTTTAAACATTAATCAAAATAATTACACTAATTTTTTAATTATTCCATATATAACCAAACCCTACTTCCCAACTTTTTAAAGGCCCCTTGTCCTCAAACCCTTCCTTATAAAGGCACACCCCTTACCTTCATTACCACACCTTCATCTCTGGCCTCCTTTCATTTTTATTCTTCATCTTCAATTCAATTCATTACCAACTAAGTAACAAAAAAATGGGGAGAGGAAAGATTGAGATAAAAAGAATAGAAAACACAACAAACAGGCAAGTAACTTACTCTAAGAGAAGAAATGGAATCATCAAGAAAGCTTCTGAAATTACTGTTCTTTGTGATGCTAAGGTTTCTTTGGTTATCATTACTAACACTGGCAAATTGCATGCTTACCATAGTCCTACTACCTCGTAAGTCATCTTTAATTTACTCAACGTGATTTATTAGTTTCGGTCAAAGGTATTATAATTGACATATTTATATGCTTGATTTTGCTAATGTTTTTTAACCTTTATATTTTGTTTTGAAGGGTGGAAGATATACTTGAAGAATACCACAGGATTTCTAGCAATAGGCTTTGGGATGCTAAACATGAAGTGTTTTTTTTTTTTTTTTTTTTTTTTTTTTTTTTTTTTTTTTTTTTTTTAAGTAAGTTTAATTTAATTCGTTTCAATGAATATAATTTCCTTTCCTTTTTTTTTTAATAAATCTATAATTTTATTTTATTATTTAAAAAAAAAAAAAAAACTTTTTTCTCAATCAATTTTAGAGTGCTTGTTTTTCTTCAGGGGATAATATGCACTTTGTTAAACAAAGCTATTAATCTTATTATTGGGTTTCTAATATATGAAAGAAATATAAAAAAAAATCATCATATGAACAGATCTATAAATGGCATAAGTTATTATTCACAATAGTTTTAAAGTTTATTGGACAAAAGGGAAAGATATAGCTGCATGCCCTAGATCTGTATATGTTATGTTACATCCTTCAGATCTGATCTGGTTTTCTTTCTCTCTCCTTTTTTTTAAAAAAAAAAAAATTATTATTATTATTTGGATCAAAGAAATTCATCACTTTTCTTCAAATAACCAAGTAAAAAAAAAAAAAAATCATAATTTTAACTTGTTGATGTTGAAATTCCCACATATTTCCCAAGAATACAATTTAATTTTAATTTTAATTTTTTGTTATCTTGTCCGATTTTATGCAATTAAGTATCACTGGTATATAAATTAATTATCTAGTACAATAAACGGAAGAGTTAACTAGAAAATTCAATTAAATGAAGTAAATCATAAATAGGTTGATTTTTGTAAAAATTATTACTTTCATTTTTTTTTACAAGGTGTTTTATTTGTTTATTATACACTTCAAATTGGTAACATAATGGTGTAAATGTAATCGTATTTTATTTTAATTAATTTTTTGAAACTTTGTGCATTTTATATCAACATATTCTTTTTAATTTGGCATAATGGATGTAAATGGTCACATGTACAGAATCTGAGCAACGAGATAGAGAGGAACAAGAAAGAGAATGACAATATGCATATTGAACTCAGGTAATTATAAATCTATGATATATGCTAATTATATCTTCTATTTTTAAAAATCATATCATATGTTATTAATCACAAAAAATATTTAATTAATTAGTACTCCCTAGTAATATAAATCAAACTAAGGGAAAATTTTTAGTTTAAGCGCGATTTTGTTTGTTCAAATTAATTAGGCACTTGAAAGGAGAGGACATTGCAACATTACCCTTCACAGAATTGAGGCAGCTAGAGGATGCTCTTGAACATGGTATTACTAGTGTACGCGACAAGGAGGCAAGCAACTAATTAAATTTCTCCTAAATTTGTTAATTAAAACCCTTTAATTACACATATTTTATTTGTGATTTTATCTAGAGTTTGTAAATTAAATTGCAATTTGTAATAATCTTTGTCAACCTAAATTGTCTTTTGTTGTATGTATTACTTATTAAGGACTACATTTTTATTGTAACAGATGGAAATCTACGAGAAGCTCCAAAAGAATGTATGTGTAATTCTTATAGCATATTTTGTTAATTAATTTCGTCGTTCAGGTCTTATAAGATCATACACTTCTTGCCTAATGCTATTGAATTGAACGAATGGTTTTAACGAAAATATATAATTAATTATATGTATATATATTTGATTTGCTGATTTCATGCTTGATGTTAATTTTATTTCTTGAAATTAATCAGGTAAGGAGGCTTGAGGAGGAGAGAAAGGAGCTCACTTATGTATTGGTAAGCTTTCCAACCTCCAAGATGTTTTAATTTAATTTGTTTACCTCCATATTTTCCGATCACGTTTATTTGCCTAGAATTAGTAGCTATGTTGAACGGTGATAGTGTAAATAGAAGCCTCTTTCAGTCTATTAGTTACGAAGTAGATATATAGCTACATACATCTATTATTATGGGCTAAATTGCAACATCACTTTGTATAGTAGTGTACTCAAATTTGACTGATTATCGACTTCAAATTAAATCCAATCTGCCTATGAATCTTCATAATTAAGGGTACAACTTTATATTAACAATTGTTAACAATGGAAATAATATATGTATACATAATATTTTTTAGGTTTTCATTTAAGTAGTTAACTAAGCTGCATTGGTATTGTAGAGTTGTTTGCTAGATGAATTATTATTGATAATGAAGAGGAATAACAGAGATATCTTGATCCATAGTTAGTCTAATACATTGACTAAAAAATCAAGTGTTAAATCAAACAACCCTAAATTCATGAACATATAAGCTGAATTTAATTTAGTACAAAGTTATACTTCTCCCGGTCCAAATTACTCGCAATGGAAATAATATATGTATACATAATATTTTTTAGGTTTTCATTTAAGTAGTTAACTAAGCTGCATTGGTATTGTAGAGTTGTTTGCTAGATGAATTATTATTGATAATGAAGAGGAATAACAGAGATATCTTGATCCATAGTTAGTCTAATACATTGACTAAAAAATCAAGTGTTAAATCAAACAACCCTAAATTCATGAACATATAAGCTGAATTTAATTTAGTACAAAGTTATACTTCTCCCGGTCCAAATTACTCGCAACTTTGGGGTATTATTTGTGAGATATTAAAAATTTTAAAGTTGCAAGTAATTTGGACCGAAGGTAGTAGTTAATTCTGTGCCAATTCTGACATGTTGGGATATGAAATAACTGTATACAGTACGACAAGTAGATAGCTAATGATGACGGGGTTTTGATTAAAGGATTATTATTGAAGGAAATTAAACCACCTTAATCAACCTTTAAATGAGGGCGTTAAAGACTTCCCTAACCAATTAAAGACCAATTACTCGTACTTTGTAAGTATGCATTAAATGGACCTGAAATTTGAATATATATATATATATATATATATATATATATATATATATATATATATATATATATATATATATATATATAATAAATCTTTGATTACGTACCAATGGTACCATCTACTTGTACATGTCCACAGAAAAAATAACGAGGCAATTTCTAGCACTTTCTGTAGTCTACTCCTACATACGTAATTTATACAATTCAGAGTACATGCTGTATGTATATTATATAAATTATGCCCTAATTAATATCTTTAATTATGTTTTCCATTTTCTATACAGCACTGTCAGCACAAGCAAGAAGTGATGGAAGGAGATATGGGTGAAATTGAGGGTGGTGTATGCATTAATCCACAGGATAGAGACTATCGTTACCAGATACCGCCTTTCGGACTATCAATGCAACCAAATTTCCATGATAGGATGTAAAATGAACTTCAATAGTTCAATTGCTGCTGCTGCTGCTACTTCTACTTCTGTTCTTCGTATCAAAATTATGGATCGGATCGGATCGTATATGCAAGTGACAATACAATTCTTAACAAATGCTAGCAAGCTAATATGTGTGTGTTGTGTAATGTGTAAGGATTTATTTCCTGAATTGATTGATCTTCCTAATTAAGCAACTCTCTATGCTAGAGTGCTGTAATTTACTTCGTATGTGAATTTATGCATTATTAGCTTGTTGGTCGTATAATTTAACTTGGTAATATATAATTCAAAAGCAACTTTGGCTAAGAACATGATTTTTTTTTTAAAGTAAATTAGTTCACTGATAGAATAGTTAAATGACATCTACAACAAAATTAAAACTAGCAATACACGATTAATAGAATCAAATAGGAAAAATGTAATCTAATAATCCCACCTTTAGTCGGTCTTCCATAAATAATCCCACCTTTTAAAATTCCCGAAACAATCCCACCTTTAACATGGATCTTCCATTAACGATCCCTGACCGGTTGAATTGTTGTGGTAACCGGTTTTCTTAGGTTTTATGACACATGTTGATGTTTAATAGGTTTATTCTTTTTTTTTTTTCCAATTAAAAAAAATAAAATAAAAGTAATTACAAAAAAAAACAAAACCACCGCCGCATCCCTTCCCCGGCAACAAAACTCAGGCGTCATCCCCACCCCTCCACAACAATGTGTCACAGCCGCATCCCTTCCCCGGCAACCCAACTCAGGCATCATCTCTTCCCCGGCAACCCTAATGGACGAGTGATTGATTTAATCATCACCACGCGTCTTTCTTTTTGGTCGTGCACTTCATTATCACCACGCATCATCATCAATGATCCTCAACATCTTTCATCAATGGTTTAAGCTCAATCATGGCAGTTGGATTGATTCAATTTCATTCATACCGTACAATTTCACACGCGAAATATGGTTTTGGGTAATGATGTTCAGTTCATGTGGGGGTTAGGGTTTCAAATGGGGTCGGGTTTCAGCTAAGGTAGGTGAGGGTGGGGCTGCAACTAGGGGAAATGGTTGGGTTGGTGGATTGAACTTGCCGCGGCAAAAGAAGTCATGGTTGGTGGAGGAATGTGTGGGTGTTAGGGGGTTGTTGGTGGAGGAATGTGTGGGTGTTAAAGGGTTGCTGGTGGAGGAGTGCGTGGGTGTTAGAGGGTTGCTGGTGGAGGAATGTGTGGGTGTTAGAGGGTTGCTGGTGGAGGAGTGCGTGGGTGTTAGAGGGTTGCTGGTGGAGGAATGTGTGGGTGTTAGAGGGTTGCTGGTGGAGGAGTGCGTGGGTGTTAGAGGGTTGCTGGTGGAGGAGTGTGTGGGTGGCAGGGGGTTGCTGGTGGGGTTTTTGTGAGGGTTGTGCTTGGATCTGGGTGACTGGTGGCTGGTAAGGATTGAGGAGGTAGTGGTTTGGGTGGCAGCTCAGTTGGTAAACATGGAGGGAGGTGGGAGGAGATGAATTAATAAAATAAAATAAAATAAAAAAAGTTTGACCGGTTTAACCGGTAATAGGTTAAAAGGATCGTTAGTGGAAGATCCATGTAAAAGGTGGGATCGTTTCTGGAATTTCAAAAAGTGGGATTGTTTATGGAATACCGACTAAAGGTGGGATTATAATTAGATTACATTTTTCCAATCAAATAAGAATCTAATCAACCAAAACTAACCACGATTGTTTTTATGAGATCCGACGTTGATGAATATTTAGTGAGTAAATTGTCATGTGTTGAATATTCAGTTGTCCATTGTATTAATTATTACTAAAGCGAGAGTTTTGGAGGATTAATTTTTTTTTTTTACTACAACTAATAAAAATAAGACATGTAACACTATAAACCACTCAAACCTGTTAAAAATATTTTTACAACTAGAATTATTTTTACTGAAACAAAATTGTTTTTGCTGAACTGAAATTATTTTTACTGAAACAAATTATTTTTGCTGAAACAAATTATTTTTGCTGAACTGAAATTATTTTTACTGAAACAAAATTACTTTTTGCTAAACTTAAATTATTTTTACTGAATTTAAATTAATTTTACTAAACTGAAATAATTATTGCTGAAATGAAAATATTTTTACTGATTTTCTAGGATCTTTTGCCAAAATGGCTACTTTTACAAAACTATTTACCAAAACGGCTACTTACAAATATTAACTCCAAAACTAGGTAACTTATTAACTTGGAAGAAATTTATTTATTTCTTATTTTCCTTTTAGCTACTTTGGTTCACTTTATGGGTTTTTTTAAAGAAAAAAAATAGTTTTTTTTTTTTTAATTTTTGTTTTTTTTTTTCTAATTTTTGTTTTTTTTGGGAAATTCGAATGCCATAGTTTAAGATATCCAATGATGAGAGGGTAGCTAGCTTGTTTTTCGTAGGGTGTGCTTTTATTTTTCGCTTTGTTTGTTTGTTTCTTTCTTTTTTTAATTTCTGTTAGTGTGTTTTTCTTTTGTTAGGGGTTCTCAGCTCCCCTCTTTTGCACCAAAAAAAAAGAAAAAAGAAAAAAGAAAAATCCCATTTATTTTGAAAAATAACATTCAACATAATATATTTGCAACAATTCTTTGGAGACTGTACTCTACTTTGTTCAAAGGTGCAAACATTAACATTTAAAAAAAATTAGGGAAAAACAAAACTCAAAAAATATTCCAAATTTCCAATTAACAAAAAAAAAGAGAACATATTCATTGTTTACCATAATGTATCACTATGTGTAAATTTGATTTATTATACACACTAAACTAAAAAATATTCAAATTAGCTGACATTAACAAAGTATACAATTTATAGGCATGAAAAAGATGAATAATACCTTAAAAACCCTTATTGTTATATAAATTTGCGGTAGTATTGATAGAACAATATCGCTTGAAATTCAAAATTAAATGATACGATCTAGCCGAAAAAATTAATATTTTTCTACTCTGCATATCGTCAAATTTTTCAACTTAATAAAAAAAAATTCCTAAAAACAAAATCAAAATAAAACCAAACAACAAAATTAAAAAAAAAATATCAATTAAGTGAACCCTGAACAAAATTGGTTCAAAAGGAAAAGAAATAGCTAATTTACGTCCAGCTCAATAATTTAGCTAGTTTTGGAATTAAAATTCATAATTAGCCATTTTGGTAAATACTTTTGTCAAATTAGCCGTTTTGGTAAAAGATCCCATTTTCTATTATAATTCTTTTTTAAAAAAACTGAATTTTACTGAACTGAACTTATTTTTACGGAACTGAAATTATTTTTACAGAATTGAAATTAATTTTACTGAATTAAACTTATTTTTACTAAAGTAAAATTAATTTTATTTAATATTATTTTTTTAAGGTGAAGTGAACAGCGCCAAAGAACTGTTTTTTGAAAAAACAAATTAGATAAAATATTAGGGACGAAGAGAGTGGCTATGGAAGGAAATCAAGATCACTAACCAAATGATTTTCTCCCCTTGAACCAAGCACTTAAACGTGATGGGTTCTTGATTTGGTATAGATATTGCATCAGATGATAATTGGGCCTTCCATCTGATAAACTAGCCCTTACATGTACGTGCTAGTCTGCTATGGTAGTTTGAAACAATTATTTATTTTTGGAAATTTTGAATTTTGGTACCTCGAAAATGACCCTAAACGGGTTTGGTTTTTCGGGTTGTTTCAGGTGGGTTTTAGGGTTTCAAGGGGCAGCGAAAAGGGGAGGGTGGTTGTTTTAGGGGGAGGGAGGAGGTTGGAGAACAGGGGAGGGGGATTGTTTTTGGCGAACGATGATTGTTTTGAAGGGGCAGTTGTGCGGTGGTGTGTGGTGGTTTAGCAGCTTTTGAGGTTGAGATCGGAGGAGCCGAGGAGGGATAGGGAGGAGGTGGGCTCGCCAGTGTCGGAGGAATATTTGGGCACCGGAAGCCTGCCAGGGAGGGGGGAGGGTGGCTGTGGGTGGTTGGTTTTTTTATTTTTTTAAAGTTATTTTTTAAAGTTTTTTTTAATAAATTAAATTATTAAATAATTAGATATTGGGCCCCACACTAATGGAAAACTTAACAAAAGTTGGATGGAGGTACCAAAATCTATATTTTTTACATTTGATGGGTACCAAAATTTAAAAAAAAAAGGTTTTAAACGGGTGCGAAAATTCAATTGGGGTCATTTTCGAGGTACCAAAATTCAAAATTTCCTTTATTCTAACTATTTTTTTTTACAATTTTGTCATATGTAATTAGGGGTGAAAGTTCGGTTTGCGGTTTGGATTATAGCCAAAATCAAATCCAATCCGAATTAATTCGGTTTCGGAAATCTCCAAATCCAAACCGAATTAAGATTCAATCCAATCCACTCTAAACCGAGTTAATTCGGTTTTTCAAATTAGAATCCAATCCAAACCGAAATTTGTTCCCTTCTTTTGCAACATTCAAACTTGAAATTCGGTCTTCACCCAGAAAATTCCTACAATTATTTCTTGTTAACTACATTCGTTGTGAGAGAGTAAGATATTGAGAAAGGAGATTGAGAATTAGTTTTTTTTTTTGAAGTTTATATAAGAAAAGGGAAAGTGGTTGGATAATTTGAAAAAGAAAATGCGCTTAAAGTATTAGGTCGAATTTCGGCTTTCTTAAACCCCAAACCGAATCCAATCCGTAATCCATATTGTTTAATTTTTCCAATCCGAATAAAAAAAAAATCCAAATCGAATTACTAATTCGGTTTGGTTTTCGGTTCAGTTTGGTTTTAATCCGAATTACTTTCACCCTTATATGTAATGGGAAATAGTGTTAAATATAAAATAATATATGAAAGATAAATATATTAATTTGCGAATATGAAATGATGAAGGTAGACAATTGGTGACACCACAACCTCTCCCCTTCACTATATGATAAAGATCTAATTTATTATTTTTGTCAGAAAAATTAAAGTTAGTGTTCTGAGTGAGCTCCATTAACTTGAGTATTGACATCCGTAAAGGTTTATCGGCCAATTAAGTATCTGCACAGTCAATGCAATTAGCTAACCCGGGGATAACCGCTCCGATATTAAAGTTAGCAATTTGATTGATGAGAATAACAAGAGAAGAGATGAGAGAGTATTTGAGAGAGAGAGAGATCCTACCTTAATAATGAACAATGCTTGAGCATTTATAGGAAAACAACCAAACTGGTGCTTCGTGGGCAATAGGTGCTTACGTAGTGGTTGAAAACAGCTCTAAGGTCATTATAAAGAGTAAGCCGATATATGCGTAATAATGGAAAATTAACAGCGTAACGCATTTTAATGATCGAAATCTTAACAGTGTCGGCATTATCCTGTATAGTTGGCAGGAAGAAGGTTCATATAAAATGAAATATCTCGGCTTTTAAGTTAAACAAATATTTCGTAGTTAAAGAGGATTGTGAGAGCTGATAAGAGTGTCACTATCCAATAAGGCAAGAACAACAGTTGATTATTTAATTACCAATCACAATATTTTAAAAGTGGTAAAACATACATTATCTTAAAGCTAACACGTGAAACTCATATCAACTTACCAATTGTAATACCTTTGGCAATTGTTTTATTCAATATGACTTTGTTGTTAACACTCGTGTGCAAGTTTAAAATGAATATTCAATATAAAACTGTATGTTTCAACAAGGTAATATCATTTTACTAAAATAAAAAGGTAATATCATTTAATGAATTTTACGAACTTTAACATAACTGATTTAACGAATCTTAACACCTATGGTCTGCCAGGTTAAGTTAATCCCTAAATCATCATATATTATGATTACAAATGTCTTTAAACTTGCACACGAGTGTTAACAGCAATAACTGAATGTATTATAATTGGTAAGTTGATATGAATTTAAAATAAATATACAATATCTTACTATATGTTTCAACAAGGTAATATCATTCAACAAATTTAACGAACTTTAACACAACTGATTTAACGAATTTTAACACCTCAAATCAACCACCGTCAAAATCCTCCAATTTACAGTAATCAACAATGTCGAAACCATCAAACTCAACTAATATCAAATTCAATCTAACCAACCCATCCATCTTACCATATTCAATCTCACCGATAAAGATACCCTTAAAAAGACTAACGGAGAAAGTATAACAATCATGAAACACTTGGAAGAATTCCCCTAAAGTACCCAATTATTCCACCTCCACACCCACATTCATCTTCAAACAACAAAGAATACGAGTTAAAAAGGTCGTCTTGTTCTTGTTACGAACAAAGTCTCCCTCTTTCTCTCTCCTCTCCTTCAGTGCCCTTCTTCTTAAGGACACTTTTTTTCTTCCTTTTTTTGGGGATTTTTTTGGATTTTTTTTTTCATCATATAAACCGTTTTATTCACTTTGACACACCTTTGCTCGTATTCTCTCTCCTCCCTTCTTCTCAATTAAGGTCACCTCCAAAAAATAAAAAATTTAATTCATGAAATAATGTCATAGGATAAAAAAAAATAAATAGAAAAACCAACAAAATTTCTTCAACGACTTAATTCATCTTTCTCTTTCTTCAAAACCAGGTACCCAGATTTTTTTTTTGTTTTGTTTTTGTTATTTTTGTTGTTTTTAATTTAATTTTTGTGGGTTTTTTTTTTTAAATTTATTTATATTTAATTTAATTTTTATTTATGTGTAAATTTTTCTGGGAATATTTGAACGTAGCTTTACTTGTTCTTCTCTCTTTCAGTTCTCCATTGACATTTGTATCCTCCATTGATGCAGCTTACGAGGTTAGTTGGTTGTTTCTTTTTGTAATAATCATGTTAATTTCACAATCTAGGGTTAATTGTTTATCTAATTTGATTTAGTTTAATTGTCAGTATATAGTTAATTTAGGGTTAAAATATTTGAACCTATTGATTTTAATTTGATTATTGAATTTCCTAAAATTATGTGATTTTTCGAGCTTGTTTTAATAATGGAATCAAAATTTGTTGCTAATGTGTTGCAGAACCTTTTGAATGTTAGTATTGAACTATGAAATTGGACCTCTTGGCGGCCGCCCCTCCTGCCCTGGCTCAGGGACGGGCCTGTCAGCAGCATTGTATATCGGACTCGGGTGTTGGGTTAGGTGAATTGGGAATGGAAGATAGACATACAACATTTGATAGTCCTGTGCCTGCTGATAAGAATTCTGAGGCTTTTATTGAGAATGCTGGTTTAGAATGTACTGATGGCACTGAGGAGCTCGTGTGTGATGCTTTAGGTGAGAGGCTGGATGAGTTGATTCTTACGCCCCTTTCAGTTTCGGGGTTGGACATTAGTTTACAGGAACCTAGAGGTGAAAAGGACACTGCTTTGGTATCCTCTTCTGAGGAGGGTTTGTCCGAGTTGGATCATAGAGACGAAAATGCAGGAGACTTTTTTCCCGATACAGATTTTGAACCGATTACTGTGAGGAAGTGTGAGCACGATGATAACGACTCTGAATTGGGAAATGCATCAGACATCAAATGCTGCTTGAACAACTTATGTCTTGATGGGGGACCATGTGAGCGTGAGATAAACTCATTTCTGAGTGGTTTTGCAGAGGAGCATATGTCAGATACTAAAGCAGATTGTGTCAATTCCACTGATGGAGGTTCTGTGGAGGCTGTTTATTCTGGAACTATGGTTAATGGATCTTCAAAGAGCTTGGTGATGCCAAGTACATTTAGATTGAAGGGTTGTGATGCTGCTCCTAATTTTACCTGTGCAGTTGATACTTTTAACCAAGGCGGTTACACAGAAAAGGATAATGCTGGAACAGATGGTGATACGTGTGAGTTGAAATCTCTTGACACTTCCTCTTTGCCTTTGCGAAGGAGTTCTAGGAGTAAAAAATCAGTACAGAAAGTTCAAAAGGCAAAAAATGCAACTAAACGCACAAAAAAGGCCTCTAAAGTGTCACTCTGTCGAAACATTGATTTTCTTGCAGAGGCTACAAGAAAAAAACGTAGTAGCTTGAGTAGATCAAATCGTTCATCTGGTTGGGGGATGTCAGACACATTGTCAAAGTACTTTCAACAGAGCAATGAGATTTCCGTAAACTTAATGATAGATCAAAGATCAAGAAAAAAGAAGGCAGGCCAAAAGAGCAGGTTGAAAAATAAGCTTAAGATGGTTGCAAGCTCAAATTTTTCAGAGGACAGACAAGAAGTTCCTATTCGTCCTATTCGCATTAAGGTTACTTTTGGGAAAAAGGAAGAGTCTCGTAAGGTGGATGGCATGCCTCCAGTAGTATTTGACGCTTTACCTGGCTTTCAGCCTTCTAATGAAGGTAAGGGACTGAATTTATGTCCCTATATTGATAGTGCTGGAGGAAATGTGATGGATAGTTCAGTTCCCAAAGAGATGCCTGGATTAATACCATGCAGCAATTCTACATCAAATGTCCAGTTTTCAGGTTCAAACCTAGAGATTTGTTCTGAGTCAGGCAAGTGTAGTCTTGCAAATGCTTCTCAACTGGAATTTGAAAAGCGGGACAGCTCCGTTGCTGATAAGTTTTCAGACCCTGGTACATCACCTGATTCAGAGGTCATTGACCAGGCACTTGACTCTATTATTGGGCCCAGGGCCTCCTGTGGCAATGCCTGTCCCAAGAGTCACAGCTTCCCCGATTCTTCTGTAAAGAGTAAGAGCAGAAGATACAAGAAAGACAAGCTCTGTCTAGCAGGCAATCCTGTTTTGGAGTACCAACATAGTGCTGATAGAGATAAGGTGCCTACTAATGGTGGACAATTGCAGAATTCAGTTAATGATGTTTGTTTTACTGATAATGTAAATGGGGAAAGTGAAAATCCTCCAAGTAACACCTCTGGCAGTGAGCTAGCTATAACAGAGTTGTTGCCGGTTGTTGATGAAGGTTGTCACAGGGCTTCAAGTCTGGACAATGGTTCTGATATCAATACTTGTCCTAGTATGAACATTGGGATTGAATCTGCAAATTCTGGGAGTTCATGTCAGTTGGTTCCTTCCAATAATAAAACTCAAAAAACGAAAAATTCCAAAGGTTCAAGAGCCAAAGGGAAACCCAAGAATGAGTCTAAGAACATGGATGTCATTGATCATCAAAAGGAACTTTCTAGCCTACCGAAAAGTAAAAGTAAGCTGAAGAGTAAGCACAAAGTGAGGGATTCTGGCATTTTAAATGAGGCATACACGATAAGGGCCGAAGCAGGGACAGGTATCCAAAATTTATTGGTTACGTTTCTCTCTGGCTGTTTCTACTTGGTGCCTTTTATATGTTTTCTCCTATTTTTGAATCTTTTGATTATAGCTTTGCTATTCGAGCTAAAAGATATTGCTAACTGTTTCAGGGAATCATGATTTGGTTGATGTGGGAAGAACATATTCTAGCAATGAAGTGCTACTGGAGAATGCATGTTGCCTGGATCCTGTACCAACTGGAGCTGCGAACCAGACATTGGCTCCCCGTCTTGCATGGGTTTGTTGTGATGAGTGTCTAAAGTGGCGTTGCATACCTGCTAACCTAGCAGATACCATTGAAGAAACAGACTGCAGATGGTATTGTCATATTGCTGAATATGCTGATACTTTATTTACAAACAAACCTAGGTTGCATTTAGTGATAATATGCTGTTGGGTTTATGCTAGCCGTACATAGCTGGATTTTTATGTGTAATGGACCATTTCTTGCTATCGGTCAGTCAAAGATTGTATGGTAATGCCTTAAATTTTTTTATGTTGCAAACACTCATTGTCCATTTGTAATTATTGATTTATCTATGGAAGTTATCACCACCTAGTAAGGAGGTGTGTGTGGGGCTGGCGGGGGGGGGGGGGGGATCTGTGTAGGGTAGGATATGGACTGCCTTGACCTTTGTGCTCTCTAAACCTTAAAAGAAAGAGAGAACTTACATAAGGTAATAAAAGGCATAAGAGGGGTAAGTGATAACAATTGTAATGACAATAACTAATAAAAATAAAATAATAACATTGTTGAAGGTAATAAAATTGGCATTATGAAGTGATAGGAGTAGCCTGGAGTTGAGCTTGAAATAAGGCTGGAGGAAAGGATTTATTTATGACTATGTGTGCTTGATGTTTTCCTTCTCTGTCATTCCTCTTTGAATGCTCTTTGCTTCTATGTTGGTGATGCGAAAAATTATGCAATTTTGTTTGTTATTCATCAATATGACGATTGAGAAACAATCAGTTTATACCATTTAGGAGGGAGATGGTGTTTGTATGTGGAATATGATATTAATTTGGTCAGTCAAAGATTGTATGGTAATGCCTTAAATTCTTTTATCAACTGCACATTGTCCATTTGTAATTATTGATTTATCTATGGAAATTATCTCCACCTAGTAAGGAGTTGTGTGTGTAAGTGTGCGTGTGTGTAAGGGGCTGGTGGGGGGGGGGGAGGTGGATCTCTGAAGGGTAGGTTATGGACTGTCTTGACCTTTGTGCTTTTTAAACCTTAAAAGAAAAAGAGAACTTACATAAGGTAATAAAAGGCATAAGAGGGGTAAGTGATAACAATTGTTATGACAATAACTAATAAAAATACAATAATAACATTGTTGACGGTAATAAAATTGGCATTATGAAGTGAGAGGAGCAGCCTGGAGTTGAGCTTGAAATAAGGCTGGAGGAAGGGATTTATCTATGACTATGTGTGCTTGATGTTTTCCTTCTCTGTCATTCCTCTTTGAATGATCTTTGCTTCTATGTTGGTGATGTGAAAAATTATGCAATTTTGTTTGTTATTCATCATTATGACGATTGAAAAACAATCAGTTTATACCATTTAGGAGGGAGATGGTGTTTGTATGCGGAATATGATATTAATTGGTTGTGCTCTCTTTGTCCTCAATTGAATTGCTTATATGTGTACTTTTTAGGATTGTAAAGTATCTGTCTCAGCTAACGAAAAGAGTTGTAGGCTTTTAGTACCATATCTTTCATTATTTAGTAGATCCTGTGAAGGATAGAATATAGACTACTTGACCTCTGTGTTCTTTAAACCTCAAAAGCAAGAGCAAACTTATATAAGGTAATACAAAGCATAATAGGAGTAATAATAATTGTAAAGATATCAACTAATAAAAAATGAAATACTAATACACTATTGGCGATGGCAACAAAAGTGGCATTATGAAGTAGTTCTTGCCTTCTTGGAGGAGTAGCCTGGATTTGAGCTTGAAATTAGGCTGGAGAAAAGTATTCTTAGCTATGACTATGTGTGCTTGATGGTTGCCTTTTCTTTCATTTCTCTTCGAATGCTCTTTACATCTATGTTGGTGATGCTAAAAATTTTACAAATTTGTTCGTTATTCCTCAGTTTGACAAGGGATTGAAAAACAATCTGTTTAGATTATGTAGGAGGGGTGGTATTGTATGCGGAGTATGAGAAGTTTTTTTTTTTTTTTTTTTTTTTTTTTTTTTTTTTTTTTTTTTTTGTGTTCTCCATTTGGCCTAAATTGAACTGCTTAAATGTTCATGGTTTTTTGAATTGTAAAGTATTTTTTGGGCAAATCAAAAGTGTTGTAAGCTCGTAGCACCATATCTTCTACTACCCTGTTCTTTTTTAGTTGCCACGTATTACTTTATGGGAAGTTTCTTTTTAGTGGGCATGTTTCTATTTTGGATAATATTTAAAGTTAAATTGTCATTTTACCCTCAAAAATTTTAAGGGTCCTCTTTTTACTCCATTTTCTTTCTCCTCTCCCTTCACCATACCTGAACTCTCACACCCCTATCATCATCTTCCCTAACCCAGAGGCAAAGATCACCACCCATTTTCCATTATCACCACCACTACAACCACCACCACCAATCACCACCACCACCAACACCACCACCAACCCCTCGTCACTTTTCCACAAGAAAGAGAGTTATTTGGGGGTTGGAAGGAAGTGCTGCCATTAGAAGTTGAAGGTGGTGTGAGAGATCCTAGGATTTCGGGGGCTTTGCCGGTGGTTTGTAGTAAAGTAGTGACTAGGGCTTTGATGAGTTGGATTCGCCAAAGATCTGAGAAAGTGAGTCAAAATGGGTCACAAGATATGGGCTTTGACACATTATTAATTTTCCATTTTACACTCCTCTTGTCTCAATAGAAATCACACTATGTTTTCTTTGAAACAAATGTTTATTTATTTTATATATATATTGTTGAATATTTGGGTTGATTCAAGAGAAAGAGAAATTTAAAGTAGAGAAAAGTTCAAAGGATTCAAAGAAGAGAGAAATTCAAAGGGAGAAGAGTTACCTGATGGTGTTTGGTGGTTGTGAAGAATCTAAAGATGGACATATGGTGGTGGGGTTGAAGAGTTGAGGAAGGTAGGGATGTTGGTGGTTCTGTAAAATTTTTGTAGTCAAGAAGAAGGGTAGGTGGGTGGGTTAATGGATATGGGCATCTATGTTTTTTGTCATTTTTACTTATTCCTCCTTTATTTTTGTGCCAAAACCAAATATGTCAACTAAAAAAAAGGGAGCAAGTATTATTTAGAAACTTATTTTTTGGTTATCATTGGTAGGTTGTGAATTTGGGTGAAGGCTTATGTCTGGTAGCTGGTACTCATGCATTATATTTATAGCTTTTCAGTTGAGAAAAGTTAAGTTTGTGGTTTTGCCTTATACTCTATATTTTATTGATTAAAATGTTGCTCATAGGACTTGCAAAGATAACCAAGATCAAGCTTTTGCTGATTGTTCAATTCCTCAAGAGAAGTCCAATGCTGAGATCAATGCTGAGTTGCAAATATCTGATGAAGAAGATGCTCGTGGTGGGCACTTAGGTTCCAAGGGTGGTGGTCTTGGGCAATCAGCAGGTTGTTGTTTGGCTTTGCTAGTGGAATATAATTGTTCCAAAAGTTATTGTAGTTTATATAGTTTTTAGGATTTACTCTTCTTTTCATTTTGTCTTTCAGCTTTGCAGCCGTCAACTTGGATGCTAATAAAGTCTAACTTGTTTCTACACCGCAGTCGCAAGGCCCAATCTATGGACGAGGTTGGATGATTCTCCTGAACTTATTAAATTTTAGTGATCTTGTAATGTCATACTAGGCTGATACTCTTTTATGTGACAATTTCGATTTTAATAATTGGAAGCCGATGAATTAAGACGCTTCTTGACTTCTATATGAGCAAATAACAGTTTGATTGTGATTTCTGCTGGGGAAATATATATCCCATAAACTGCTCTTCTTCTTGATGCCTTTTCCAGTGTAATTTGATTTGAAATAAAATTTTGAAGTAATGTCCTGGAAATTTTTAAATGAAGCTTACACCTACAGTCCTACACACGTGTATGCACTTTTTTATTCAGTAAAGCTACCTTACCCTTTTGTGCTATAAATTACCTCTCTTATTTGTTCTGACTGTTCTTTTTAATCAGATAATGGTTTGCCATTGCAAACCTCCTGTAGATGGTCGGCTGGGCTGTGGTAGTCAGTGTTTGAATAGAATGTTGAACATTGAGTGTGTTCAAGGAACTTGCCCATGTGGAGATCTTTGTTCTAATCAGCTGGTAGGTGCTTGTTTGTGAACAGTGCTACATGCTATACGGTGAAATTCTATCTTTTGGGGACATGTTGTGAAGATTCTATTTTCCTGCAGTTTCAAAAGCAGCAATATGCCATGTTGAGTTGGTTTCGTTGTGGGAAAAAGGGTTATGGATTGCAAGTCTTGGAAAATATCTCTGAAGGGAAGTTTCTCATTGAATATGTTGGCGAGGTACATATCTGAACTATTTGATTATTGTTTTGGTAACATTATATTTAGTAATATAAAGTATAATACCTCAAAAAAAAAAAAAAATGCTGTCATTAATGGTCAGAGTATTTGCTCTGTTTTATGTATTGAGGTTGTTTGAAACAAGTCTCACATCATTTTTGTCTAGGTGCTGGATTTGCAATCTTATGAGGCACGGCAAAAAGATTATGCTGCAAAGGGCCACAAGCATTTCTACTTTATGACCCTGAATGGGAACGAGGTTTGTACTGCTCTTTTCGTGAATTTCTTTATGGGCCCCATGCTTTTGGTGTACAACAACTAATGCAGTTGCTGTAGGCATTTAAGTACCCTATGGTACTTTTATTTTACAGTCATTCTCATTGTTTATATCTAATTATTAAAGTCTTAGCAACACTTGTTGGAAGCTTATAAAGTAGAGGAAAATATATGGGGATTCGAATTACTATCTAGCTTTCAAAAACCCTCTCACCAAAGTCTGTGCAACAGACAGCGTATGAATATGCGGGGAAAACAAACACAAACAAGGAAGAAGGCTAGAGTAGATTGATAGGTAGTTAACCGAAAGGTTAAGAGTTACAAATTTAATGGCTTTAAACCATAAATCTCCAAGGTTTCAATTCAATTTTTCTGAATACTCTAGCTCTCTCTATTCATTGCTATTTATACTACTTACTAGTGGCAAAGCCTTAATTACTACAACAACTATTTTTGTCCTCTTCCAAAAGCTTCCAAAATAGAACAGGTAAAGTAACGGTCCCCTGCACTTTTACCCCTCTGCCCTGGGAGGCTGTTGTGGTGTGTTTGTGCCCTGCTCGAGCCCTGTTGCTGCTGTCTTCTGTTGGTGTTGTCTCCTGCTGTACGTCCGTATGATGGGTGGCCTTTGGTTCATTGCAGTCTGAAAAGTCATTCCTAGATCTGCTAAAAGGAGATTGAAGTAAGAGATGGGCAAGCTCTTGATGACACCCCTAAACACTGAGATATCCTATGATTATCATATGACTTGAAAGAAACTTAAATATGAAAAAGAGCATTTTTATTTTAATTAGGTTGTCTGACAAGAAAATAGCAGTATTATCAGCAAACTTCGAGTAAATGTAATTTCTTGAAGAAGTTTATGGGGCATTGCACGTTGCTTTGTTCAAATGATGGAGCATCTTTTCTTCTATGTTGGATGGTATTCTTCTTGATTAATACCCTGCCCATGTAAGCTGGTGGAGGCAGGGGTTTGGAACAATGGGACTGGAAATAGTTTGATTATTTTTCTAGGTCTCTGTTAAGTGTTAAAACTTTTTTTAGTTTATGTGTTGCAGGTTCTTGACGGATATGTAATATTTCTGTCACGTGTTTGATGTGCTTCATTTTGTCCTGAATCACAGGTTATAGATGCAAGTGCCAAAGGAAACTTAGGTCGCTTTGTTAACCATAGTTGTGATCCTAATTGTCGTACTGAGAAGGTGAATTTACTTTCGACTAACTTGTTCTTTTTACCTGTGGTGTGAACTGTCTTTTTTCTTCCACATTTTTATTTATTTTAACTTATGGGGGTAAGTACTCTTACTGGCTACCTAAGGTATTTTGTATAATATTAAATGTCTGGTGAAAACTCTAGCACCTTCTAAACTATTTGAAAATTGTAATTTGTCTGAAGTTATACGTGTTTTTTCTTGATGGACTCTCATAATGTGACAAGTCATTAATATATTAAAAAGATGACTTGCCCTTTTTATTTATTTATTCTTTTTGGTGTGTGTGTGAAATTTTGGTTGAATGGTACATATTATAGTTATTAGTTAAGCCATTGGGTGTGTTCCTTTTTTTTTTTTGGCTTGGTTTTATCCCCCATTGAATTCTTGTATTAAAGTTTGCAGTCTGATTATACTTGGAAGTTTAAGTATAGCTTACCTTAATTTATTTCTATCGATGAAAATGTGTTTTTATATCCTTTTCTTTTTGTTGAGCTACATTTTTTTTTTGAAACAGTGGGTAGTAAATGGAGAAATATGTGTTGGCCTCTTTGCATTGAGGAATATCAAGAAGGTACTTATCTCCTTTTCTTCTGCTATTACATGAACCCATTAATGCTCTAATCCATTAGTATGAAGTGTTCATTAAGTAGAAACATAGTATACCACAGTTACTGTGTTTGTCTGTAGAATATCACCTCTTTATGTTATCTTACTTTCTATTCTGTACTGGTGCTTTGAGTGAATTGCCAGAGGGGAAGTGCTTTGTTATGTTCTTTGAATCTTTGTATGATGGAAGAAAGGAATTTTTTTTTTTTCCCTTCCAAATCTCTGTTGACACTCATTATAGTTATGTTATGCTATAATTGAGTCAATGGATTTGATGTTAGGTCATAGTTGGCATCAAGTGCTTCTATTGTCTAAGCAATGTGCTTTATGACCATCCCACTTTGTATGGAAAATGGAATACAAAGAAGTACTAGTAGAAAGTAGGATGGTTTTGTATGAGGGGGAAAGGGAAAAGGGCTAAAGAAGGGATATAAAGGGTAAGTAAAATAAAGTTCTTAAATGTTACTTATTTTTGTGAGGGGGAAGTAAAAAGGAGTAAAATAGGGATATAAAGGGAAAGGAATGAAAAATTCTCTAATGTTACTTATTTATGTGGATATAGAGGGAGAAAGGGATTGCAATCCATACCATTGCCACCACTACCACCACCATGACGATAACACCACCACCACCACCACCACCGCCCCACCCTACACCCCTTCTCACTGGGCAACGTGGCAGCAACAATAGAGAGTGGCCATCTTTCTCTCTCTCTCTCTCTCTCTCTCTCCCCCTCTTTCGTGGGGGTGAGTCCCGGCAAACAAGCCGTTTGGTTCAGGTCGGGTTAGGTCGTTTTCGAGTCGCTAGTATTCGGGTCGGGTTCGGGTCGAGTCAGCTTTCAGGTCAATTTTGGGTCAACCTTTGGGTTGAGTTTGGGTTGGGTTAGTTCGAGTCGCCAAAAATAAATTCTCTTAAAAATTCTGTTGGAGGATTCCCTTTTATTTCAGTTATAGTCGTAACATTTTTTTTTTAATAATAATTAGAATCTAAGATAAGTTTCTTTTTTAAAAAATGTGAGTACTAATTCGGTCACTTCGTGTCGGGTCTCATCTCGGGTCGGGTCACATCGGGTGGTGTCGGTTCGGGTCAATCAATTCTGGTCACTTTGGGTCGGGTTAACTTTGGGTTTCGGGTCAATTTTGGGCCGGGTTATTTCGGGCATCAGGTCGCATTCAGGTTAACTCCATTTCGGGCTGTGTACGGGTTAAAATTCAGTTCGGGTCATTTTCGGGTCAATGATTTCGGGTCAATTTTGGGTTGCTGGTCAGATCATTCGAGTCGGGTCAGAATTGCGAAGTCAAGGGTTTGGTGGATTTTGTGATAATTGGGTGAATGGTGGATGGGGGTAGGGTAGTTGTGGTGGTTGCCTGGTTGGGATTATTTTAGCCTTTAGGGGTGGTTTCGGGGTGGTAGCGTGGGTTTTTGTGGTAATAGGGGTTGTTTTGGGGAGGGTGGGGTGGACTTCACCTTTTCGAGGTGTTAGGGTGGGTATACATGGTGGTTGGTTCATTGGGTGATTTGGGTTATGGTGTGGTGGTGTGATGGGGTGGTGATGTTGTTCAAGGTGATTTGGTGGTAAATGTTGGTCAAGGTGATTGGTGTAGAGGAGTTTGGGGATTGGTGTAATTCCATTAGAGGGATCGAGGTAGGGTAGTCATGGGAGAGGAATGTGGGGGGAAACATAGTGTTAAAGGGAAAGATTAAATGACCTTTATAATAAAAAAAAGGGAATCATTCGTGTTCTTTTACTTCCCCCCCCCCCCCCTTTTTTTCCTTTCCTCCTAAACATGTGCCCCCAAAATGTTAATTCTCCGTCATCTGTAATTGGTATAGTAAATGCTCTGTTTATTTCTCATTCCAAGATAGAGAATGGGCTGGTAATTGTGGTGATGTAAACGTCATCTGCACTGGCTTGCCTGGGATATGATAGCTGCCGTAAACTGTATATTTGGCATTGCCAACGTGTAAAAGATCATTTTGTGGCCCCTTAGTTATCTCTTTTACCTCTATTTTACTTCCTATTGTTTTGCCAGAAAGTCTTCTATTGTTTTGCCAGAAAGTGTGCATACATATTGCAATAGTGATTGGAAAACATGTTACCCTGTGAGGGGAACTTTGTTTCCCATGTTTTTCCTCAGTCATTTTGTTTTCCAAATCGTTTATGCATTTGAAATGTTATTGAAACAACTATTCAGGGGATGTGTGTAATAATTCCATACATCAGATATGCCCTATGACCAATAAGTTTCAAACCTTGTGGCAACCCCGATGAGTCAGAGTATCAATCGCTGCTGTCTTTATACATCCTACTGCTCCTCAGCTTCAGTGAAAAGCCTGTTTGCCTTTCCGTTTCACACTCCTGCTTGATATCTTCAACCGCCTGACCTGGATGGCTACATTGATCTTGATTGGTGTAACTGATGAATTTTGACAGACTATGGGAAACAGTTGGACAACAAATAGATTCCACTTTTGGTGGGTTTAGACTCTTAGGAGGCTGTTTACAATCAATTTATTAGAGAGTAGATAAATATATATGTTTTAATAAAAGATTCCTAGCGTCTTCCCCTGTTTACAAGAGGAGGTGAGGGTTAAAAAGACACCCTGAACCTCAAAGAGGCACTGCATAGACTCTGTAGACTGAGTATGATCTTGTTAATTTAATTATTTCCGGTTAACTATGTCATTGATGTAATAGTTGATGTGCTATGATGAATATTCACAAGGTTGTAACTTGACATGCAGGGTGAAGAGTTGACTTTTGACTACAACTATGTACGGGTATTTGGTGCTGCTGCTAAGAAATGTCACTGTGGTTCTCGTAAGTGTCGGGGTTATATTGGAGGTGATCCACTCAATACACAAGTAATTGTTCAAGGAGACTCAGATGAGGAATTTCCAGAACCTGTTGTCATTGATGAAAATGGTAAAATTGACCGTACCCTAGAGGATATGAAGGCTAAATCAAGTTATCAGGATGCTGAACAGGTTCTGAGTGAAGATAACTTGACTCTCAAGAATTCAGAAGTTATAGTTGAAGGACAAATGGTGAATAAAGTAGACTCTCTGATTGATGATGTTGGGCAATCACAGATCGTGCTAGTTAAGGACTCCGTTCATGAAGTTCATGAATCTACAGATAGTTCATTAGACTTGCGACCTGAGAATCTGAGAAATGAACATATATCTGCTGTAGAAAATCATACTTCAAAAACAGCACATACAGGCACACTAACATCTTCCCCAGAATCGGATTTACTTCATGTGGATAATGCAATAAAAAAGTCTCAATACGGTTCAATTGATTCTAATGGTAGGGTGTCTGAAGTTGACATTGAGTGTGAACCACCTATTGCCAGACCTCGTTCTCGCATGAAAATTTCTCGTCCGTCTAAATCTGTTAAGAACCGCAAGGTTAGTGGCAATTCAGCCAATGTTGGGAAGGCTCCTCTATTAGCCCAGAGATCAAAGATTTTGTCCTGCAAACCAAAGAAATTACTGGAGGGTTCTGTCAATGGTCATCTTGAAGCAGGTAGGTTTATTTTTTATATTTATATATTTAGTTATTTATATTATGATTAACCATATGGATAATACCTTTTTACTAATAATTCATGTAACTCACAGTTGAAGAGAAGCTCAACGAATTACTTGATGCTGATGGTGGTATCTGCAAAAAGAAGGTATGGTTAACTGACTGTTGTTTTGAGATATGGTTTGAACACTTTCTGTCCTTGACAATGATAGTTCCCTACTTCCCTCTCTTAAATGACCACAGATAAAAGACCAATAGATAAGATAACTGTTGGGATTCAGGTGCTGAATGTTTGTTTGTTGCTTTTCTTTCCTTGTAGGATGCCTCTAAAGGCTACTTGAAACTTTTGCTTCTAACTGCAGCTTCTGGTGATAGTGGCAATGGGGGATCAATTCAGAGGTGAGTTATGGTTTAACTGTTGAATTGGTTTTCTTGTTTTAATTTCTCATCTGTCTCAGTGTAACACTGTTTTCTTTCAATTTCTATTATGTCATGTTTAATTGTATTGGTCACTTAAGTTATTCTTCCAATATCAGGCAACAAGGTCTAATCTCCTTTATTGAGAAATCAAAATGGTTTTGATAGAGTTTGGTTCTTTGGAGAGGGAAACTTTATGTACTCTACTAATGGTTTATTAGAGTTGGCAAAATGGAATTTGATCTCATATCGATTCGAAGAAGGGGATTTTTTGTAACTAACTCCCTATGTTCTCATACTATTGCAACACTTACCATTCTAAAAAGTTTCAAAATAAGTGCAACATTATATGATTTGGCTGATAGGCTCTCTATCTATGTCGTGTTCACATTGATCCCTCTTTATATTCCTCTCTATCTCTCTTTATATCACATAAAAGCAAGTAATATTGTTGTTAGGGGGTTTAGCTAGTAACATTGTGGCTAATATTCTGTAGTTAAATGAAATGGACAGTCTTGGAATATTTGGTGTCAATTGTATTGAATTGGCTGAAATTGATCTCAGCTTGAAACTTACTAGATGTTGATTTTTGCTTCTTTTGTACATGATTGTATGACTCTGTAGGCCAGCTGACACTGTATTAAGATAAGATTTTGGAGATCTCTCGGTTGAAAATTGCTATTCTGAGTGAATGTTTGAATTGAATTGAGCTTGTGATTCTGCTCTCTTTGTTGGTCCTGGGTTTGTGACCCACTGTATTTTTTCTTTTGTTTGCTGCAGCAATAGAGATCTTTCAATGATACTTGACGCGATATTGAAAACAACATCCCGCGGGGTGCTTTTGGACATAATCAACAAAAATGGTATCTTGTTTGTATTGATGTAGCATCTGCCCTGCATTTGTTGCATTCCTTGATGCGTGAAACTTCTTTGTTTTCCAGGTTTGCAGATGCTACATAATATGATGAAGCTTTACAGAAGCGATTTTCAGAAGATTCCTATCTTACGGAAACTTCTTAAGGTATGCATGAACCTCTTGGTCTTTGATAAAAGTATGGTGAATCTGTTGTTTTTGACAAATTTGGATTCTATCTTACAAATTTGTTTTTGATAAAATATCTTGGTCTTACATGTATTTGATTAGTTATGTTGTAAATCACATGACTGACATGGCTATTATCTAGAATAGCTTTGATGTGGTTTATTGACGCTTTTCTGATCAAAAAGTGATGTATTTACTTCATGGATATTGAATATCTGGGTATTATCTACAAATGTTTATCCAGATGTCAAAAAAAAAAAAAAAACCAAATGTTTATCCAGGAATAAATACATGTTTGTTTTCATTTGGAATAGGAGGATTTTATAAGTTTCATCATGGAAATTAGCTAATGGATTCTTTAGCCTTTATTCTATCAGGCACTGCAGGTCTGCAGGATAACATGACAGTATTTTGTTTTTTGAGATTAGAGGTGATTTAAGTAAAGAAGGCTAGAGAAAATTAGAATAGACACTGTCTTTTAAGTTGGAAGCAAAAATTTGCATTTCTTTCTAATTATTACTATTTTCTGTAAAGAATCAAAATACTTCTTTTGTTTATGTCTGATTTATGTTAATAAAATCCTCTTGAGTTAGGTGCATAACAGAAAAGAAGCCATTACTAGTCAAATAAAACTTCCTTCTATCAACCTGTCCAAGGTTCTAACCTAATGACCATATAACAGAAAAGTAGCCTTTACTTATGAGGTTTTTTATTTATTTATTTTTTTTCCCCTTCCTCTCAATGGACAATTTTTTCAACATACATACCAATAATTCACCCATAATGCCAAGGAGTTTTCTTTACTATTTTCAGCAATCTTTCATGGATGATTAAGATATATTTTTTCATACATTTCCTTGCTTTTGAACATATATCTGATCATTTTAGATGCCTTGCTGCTATGATATATCATTGATATGGTCTTTTTAATCGGATTGTGTTCAATCTATGTTACTCAATAAAAGAAAATTTTTGCATGGTTGTGGTCTAAATGAAGTGCTATGTATCCATTCTCTTGTCCTAGTAACACATTACCAACTGATGTGGGAGTCCTACAGCTGAAGATTGTTGTCCCATTCTTTAATTTATCACATATGTTTAAATTTATCCTGTATTAATTGGGAGGGATTCAGGTTCACTGTGTGTGTCGGTGACAGTAGATTGGAGTATAATTTAATTGTGTAATCCAAACAGTAGAATTCCGATATATCTGGTTTCTGTTTGCTGAATTTCTTGCTGTATACTTCATTGCAACACTGTCGCATTTTGAAGGTTGACTCTGACCTCTGCCAAAATTTTGAATCTTTGTCACCCCTTGATATATGTCTACTCTTGATTCGAAGTTTACAAATGTTGACTGCTAATGTTTAATTTATGCTGAATTTCGGCATTACAGTGTTATATGCTTATAAGTGCTTTCAAGAGACTTTTTGAGTACTTTCATGAGAGTATACTTCTACATTTGTGACAAATTCATTGGTTAATATTTGGTTTCAAAGACCATGAAAAGTCTAAGTGGACCTGTATAGGGGACACTGGGTATTTTTATTTTTCCAAGCAGACTACAGTTTCTATTAGATCAAACACTGTATCCGGTCTTAAAAAAAAAGCACTGTATCTATTAGCCTATACAGCTGCTGTATGTCACAGCTGGATCTAAGTTTAGATTTGTTAGAGATTAATGAGCATATTAGCATATATGTATGAGGAACGTAATATTGTGTTGACAGTGGGCTAATTTAGCTAAAAGTAGCAAATGAGAAGTCATCCAATCCTGCATATGCTATGCCCGTTGTATCCTAAAATTATTGTTATCCTTAACTAAAGGTAATTGCACATCTGAAACTTCTAGCCTTAAACTGCTCTCATTTTGTGATCTGCGGTAAATGAAGTTAAAGTGATTTGTTCATATCCTTGAGCATTGTTGAATAATTAAGAGCTTAGCTGGTTATGGATAAGGCTGCTTCTGTGTACTCCTGGAGATTATCCCTCCTGCTGTTTTTTTTTTTTTTTTTTTAATTAAAGGATTTAATTGAGATTGCATGCTTCTTAGTTATGTTTAAAGCAAGTGGATGATGCATATCTTGAACTGTGTTTGGAGTAGGACATCTACTGGTTAATTAAGGTTGATTCCATGTAACTGCAACCTTTGCCAAGCAGCAAGTTCTATTCTGTTGTCTACTTGCTTATAGCTCCTTGTGATGCTGTTTGCTTCTTAGTTACGTCTAAATGTGTGCGGATAATGCATCTGTTAAACAATGTGGGATGTGTTTTGCAGGCTTTGGAATTTCTGGCTAAGAAGGAGATTTTGACTGTGGATCGCATTAATGAAGATTCTGTACATCCTGGAGTTGAGAGGTTAGAGAAAATAATTTAATTAGCTTGTTTTTCAATTTCTTTTCTGGCATTTGATGAATGGTTTAGAAACTTTGCAAGTGAAGAAGTCTACTGGATGCTTTCTGATTAATTGTGCTGAATCACTGATAGCTTCAATGAGTTCACATTTTTTTTTCTTCCTGGGATTGTCTTTTCTTTTTGGCCTCTACTTTTAGGCTGTTGTGACTTATCTACGATAAATAAATATAATAAGAGGCTGTAAAGAGGAGGTATGAAGTCCAGATTTAGAATTTGCTGGTTTTGAATACTTTCTAGTTTTCCGAGTGTTTTAATGCTGATATCTGTTTTCTCAAGGAAAAAGTATGAAGGTTCATATATCTGGTTTTGGTTTTTGTAAATTAAAATATCGAATAACTAGGTGATCTTTTAAGCGATACTGAGTTTATATTTTTATTTTCCAAAATTAACACTGTATAGTACTCCATTTATGAAATAGATATTGGGCATTTTGTATCAAAACAATTTCCAAGACTTAAATAATAAAATAAATATTTTCATTGGAAATGACGTTTGTGGTAGAAAATTATTGTTCTCTAATACTCATACATATAAATCAATGCAATAAAATATTTTATTTAGTGTAACTCACTAAAATATGTCCAGCTTAATTAACTTGTTTAGGAGGGAAAACTTGATTTGCTGTAGTTTAGACATTTAATATGAATATATAGATATAGATGATGGAGTGCCTTGGCTATCTTTTGATTGATTATCCATTTGCTTCACGGAGCTTTACAATGTTGTTTTCATCAAGTTTTTTTATAAGTAAAATACAAACCCTCCTTTTAGCAGTTTTCATGCATTCTGTCAAGTCAATCTTCTTATGCTCAACATTTTCTGTGAAGTGAAATGTATATGAAATGTATACCATTGAATTTAAGTGTTCACTGGTGTCATATTTAATTTGCTAATTAAACTTTAACTATCTGCTGCAGTTTGAGGGAATCCATATTATATTTCACAAACCACAAGGATATCCAGGTAATGTTCCTGTTTTCTTATATGAATTATACATGTGATATACGTTTAATTTGATAAATCCCCCCCCCCCCCCCCTCTCTCTTTTTTTTTTTTTTTTTTTTTTTTTTTAATGTTGTGCTACATTCATTTTGGTCTTGGCTATCTTAATATGAAAAAGAAGCCTAAGATTTTCATGTTGTGATAAAGGCTATTTCCTGTTTTCACCTGAAATAAAGTGTTCAATCTGAATATTTCTGAAACGAGTAATATGTGGCTCAATCATTAACCATTATGGGGCGCAATACAAATATGGGCTTTTGTATTCTAAATATTTTTGTTTTTTGGAACTCGACCAATTGTTTTGCGGTACCATATGCATTGACACTTTTATGACCTACCGTTATATGCCATTCTGTTTCATGGATTGTTTACTGTCCTATGCGTATTATGTCTTTCCTGTGGAACTAAATGTTAACCATCACAGTGGCAGTCTGGCAGAACCATATTTCCTAAAAGGTCCAATCTGTTTAGTGATAGTGTTCTTGTTTTGTTTTTCTACTGTTCTCATTTATTTGTACATGTCGCTGCATGTCTAATGTGGTATGCCAACTTAACCGAACACTTTCCAGCTTCTGCCAACCCAAAAAATGGAAGATTTCCATTGAGTGCAATAATTGTAAGCCTGTGTCCAGGATTTGATTTATTTTGTGAAAATTGAATCCCTAGTTTTTCTTCTGCACCAGGTCCATCAAATTGCACGGAACTTTCGGGATAGGTGGATTCCTCGAAAATTCAATCGAGTTGATCGAAGGAGAGAGTTTCGTAGAGGTTCAAACTCTAATAGATATTTTGGAACATGCCATCATTGGAGAGAGCAAGGAGCAATGGAAACAGAACGCATAAGTTGTTCTGATCAATCAGGAATAACGAACAATCCTGCTGATGCTAGAACGCAAGAGGCCTCTTGTTCTCAGTTAACTGATAACCAGACTGTTGTTAGCAGACCTCGGAAGCGTAAAAGCAGATGGGATCAGCCTGCAAGGTCACCCAAGAATATTAGAACAAGCCCTAAAGTTGAAGTTAGTGAAGGGGGGCAACCCCATGTTATCGAGGCAAAGGAAGATAGTGGTTGCTCTGGTGCTCAGAATTTACCCAAGCATAGTAACAAGGGAACAGATGATGTGATGCAGAACTCTGATGATGATGCACCTCCTGGGTTTTCTTATCCACGTGATCCTGTTGTTGATAGTCCCCCTGGATTTTCTTCTTCTCTACAGTGTTCAGTTCCATTGGGCCTTCTCCAGGAGAGATTCAATCCACGTTTGCCTGTAGCATATGGCATTCCCTTGTCCATTATACAACAGTCTGGAACCCTTCATTGTGGAACTGTTGATAGTTGGGCAATTGCTCCTGCCATGCCTTTTCAACCCTTTCCACCACTTCCGCCTTATCCACGTGTTAGGAGTCTGATGGGTGTCCAGGAAGAAGCAAGGGAAGGCTACCATTCCCATGCTGGTGATCAAAGGGATCAAGGCATACCGAGTACATCTGGGGCAAGCTTGTTGAATGCACAAAATTCTGTGGCCACAAATCAGAATGCATTACATCATGAAAAGGGATTGCGAAATTTCCCAGGGAAGAGGCATAATCGACAGAAGAAGTGGAACAACCAGAAGCCAAGGCCGCCATGGCTTCGGAATCTAGATGGTTGGGGTTTCAAAGGGAATCATCCCTCGCATCCCAGAAATGGGTCATTTGACATAAATATGGAAACAGTAGCTGATGAACTTAATGATCAGCATTTAGCTGATGTAAATTATAGTATAGAGTATGCAGGCAATTCTTGATAGGTTTTACAGCATCTAATTTCATTGATTTTTTAGGAAAACATTCACAGGCTCCTTGATTTTGTATTATTTCATTCCTAGTTGCCTTTTACTGATGGAGATCGATTGATTCATTTGAGACAGCATCTTCAAGCTGGGTTCGTGTCATGACAGATTCGGAAGGGTGAAGGTCAGTTGGTATTAGGGAGTTTTGTAATTGGATGTCAATCTTGTATAGAGTGGGATAATTATTCCTGTCATTGCCTTGCTCATACTTTTAGGCATCTTCACAATGTTGGAATTGTAAAAAAGAACAATTTCATCTATAAAAAATTGAATGTTCAAAGACTGAAATTTCAAAATTTAATCATTATGTATTTATGTTTATTGCCATTTGATGTAGTTTACTAAATAACCTTCACTTATTTAGTAAACTAAATAGAAAACAAAACTAAGTTTATGATTTTATACCAGAAATAGTGATTCATCTGCGTAACATTTATTTCCAAATTCATGTATCACCTACCATGCAGCATCCTTTATCAACACAACTCAGAAAAAGAAACGTCCTTTGCCTGTAAAACTACAAGTCAATAACTGTTACAGAAATCACTATCCTATCGTAGCTAGTCTCCCAAGTACTCGACCAATCATTTTCACCTTACTGATGAAATCCCACGAACAATCTACATTTAAGTTGTCCCACATTGTAGCTAGTCAATAATTGTTACAGAAATTACTACCCTCGTAGCTAGTCTCTCAAGTACTCGACCAATCTTTATCACCTTACTGATGAGATCCCACAAACAATTCACATTTGAGTCGTCCCACATTATAGCTAGTCAATAACTGTTATAGAAATTACTACCCTTCATTGCAAGTCTCCCAAGTACTCCACATATCATTCTCACCTTACTGATGAGATCCCATATTATAGCCGTGAGGAAAAATCAAGCTTTTTTTTTTTTTTTTTTTCCTCCTTATCATAAAGCTTGTTACACAACTGAGTAATTTATATTGATCTGTCCTTACCAACATAGACATGAAGTGACTCATCACCATTAGAACATAAAATGTGTGGTGCATCTTATTAGTAATTATTACAACATTAAAATAACTTATTCAACTTTACTAGAACCAGGTGAAGAAGAGTACTATTGTACAGAATGTTTAGCATTCCAGGCAACAGTGAGAGTAGTAAAGAAATTGTTACTTTTTGAGTGTGTCATTTGATTAAGTAATTAACCTTTTAGAGGAAAAAATTACTCATAATTGGTCAAAAATTATGGACTGTAATGTCAGTATTGTCTGATAAGTCGTTGGCTTCCCATCAAACCCATTTATATCACTTGTACTAGTATCATGTGACATTTCTTAACACTTTACTGTCCTCGGGAATCCTGATACTGATATGGGAAGTGTTTTTGCAAGGCGAGTTCTATGGCAATGTCCATAGCCATGGTTCGGCGTGCTACTCTCGACGATATAATCACATTATGTGAAGGTCGGGACCTTACCAGCCTACTCAAGCAGTAATGGAAATAAGTTCACCAAAAAAAAGTATGTACATGAAACACGTACATGATCAGGATACTCGGGGATATAGTTGTATATTGATGACATGACTAAATGTTACATTCGTTACATACTTGCATTTATTTCAATTACCACAATTTATTACCATCTGCCAAACGTTATTAATTCCATCAAACCAAGTTATTCCCGTTCCTGATTGGCTGCTACAGTCACCGAGAGATAACAATATAATTTTAGTTGATATTAGGCCTATCAGGCAACATATTACTGCAACATCAAACAATATATGTATCCTTCAATATTGCAACATTGCATATAGTAAAAAAAATGAAGTCAAAATTGAAAATTGAAACAAAATGCAAACAAGAAAATGATGCAGCTGATGAACCTGTATCTCCTACAGGACAATACTTAAACAGCAAAGCCTTAAACTCTTGTATTCTAGCCATCCTAGAATCTGAAGTTCCCATAGACGAATCGTGTGCATTGCCACAACTTCGAGACGTATTTCTTCCCATTAATCCCAGATTTTCATCTATTATGGTAATCATCTTCTTCTATTTCTATCAGTCACTAACACACAGCTTAATACAAAATGTCACTGACTGGTAATTTTCTTCTAGCAGATATATGACAAGAAGGGTGTTAGACAGTGGAAAAGGGTGGAAGTGAACCTTCAAGATCACGTTTACGTTCCTAGATTCCTGGAAGGCTTATCAAGTGAATCTTACGACGATTATTTTGATGAATATCTGACAAAAATCAGTGTGGAACCACTGCCACAAGATAAGCCTTTGTGGGAACTTCACATAATCAACTGCCCAACAAGCAAAGCTGCAGGGCACATAATCTTCAAGCTTCACCATGCACTTGGTGACGGCTACTCTCTGATGGGAGCACTTCTTTCCTGCGTAAAAAGAGCAGATAATCCTTCCCTTCCGTTAACGTTTCCTTCAACTCGAGCAAGATCAGAAGTTAAGAACACTAATAGCAAGGGTTACATGACAAAGGTGCCAAGAGCTTTATCTGCAATCTTCAAAGGAGCTTCTGATTTTGGATACAGTTTTCTGAAAAGCACTTGCATTGCAGATGATCAGACACCTATCAGAGGCGAAAGCAAAAGAACGAGTTCCAATCCTCTCAAAGTCTCTACTCTTGCATTTTCCCTCGAACAAATCAAACTAATCAAGACAAAACTAGGCACGGTATGTTTCTCTCTTTCCATCTCGGTCTTTTTGTCTTGTATTATGTTGAATATGAAAACTGAAGCATTGTATACTTGTATGAACTGCTTTCTCCAATGCCTGTTTTAGCATTCTTATATACATTGCCATGATGTAATATATATTCATGTCTGAATTGAAATTCTAATCAGGCAATTTGAGACTATATCTATGTGATCACTTTGAACTTTTGAAGTAAATATTTTAGAATCAGAAGCTCTATGTTGAGAAAAAAATCTATAATCTCATGCATCATTTCCTTAAAATTCAATAAACAGAAATATACGATACAATTTCATTATCCATACTTCCTGATGTTAGTAAAATAACAGGGTTTAACACTGCATTTTTCCCCCCTACAGACAGTAAATGACACTATTTCAGGCATAATTTTTCTGGGGACTCGACTCTACATGCAAGAAACTCAAACAAAATTCTCCAATTCACGGTCCACAGCAATGATGATGCTCAACACAAGGATTACACGAGACTACATGTCTGTTGAAGAAATGACTAATGCACATACAAAAATATGGGGAAACAAGTTTTCATTTTTGCATATAGCACTTCCTAGATCAATCAACACTGAATGCTCCAACCCCCTTGATTTCATCTATAAAACACGCAAACAGATCAGTAGGCACAGAAATTCACCAGCAGTCTGTCTCACTGCCCAGTTCTTGGAGATTACAAGAAAGTACAAAGGATCTGAGGTACACATTAAGAAAATACAGTTCATAATCCTTCTAAGTTTTTTCCGGTCATACTTCATTTACATCTTCGTTTAAGGCGTGTGTAGAAGTATTAGTGAAAAATTCTTGCAGGTTTCCTAAGTGACTACACAGCTTTAGTCACAGATCATCTGTCATATTGACTACTGAGAATGGAGTATTTAACCTCAATTCATTTGAAACTTCTTTCAGGCAGTGGCGAAACACATCCATAGTACATTGCGTAAATCAAGCATGTCAATGACAAACATGATTGGTCCAGTTGAGCAAGTAACATTAGCTGGTCATCCGATAAAAGGCATGTACTTCATGGTTACTGGCAGTCCTCAGGTAAGCAAAGTAAAATATTTAGTCATATATACACCCAAAATTTCTCTTCTTAAACTTCAAGTATTCAAATCAGATAATTTGACAATTTGTAACACAACAAATTTCTAAAAAAAAAAAAAAAAAAAAAAAAAAAAAAAAATAACCTAAGTTTAAGATCAATAGCTAGAAGCTGATAAAAACTGGATCAACCCACTCAGCTAAGCTTCAGGAAATATTTCTACCCAACCCATTTTTGCAACTTTTGACCAAGATCCAAAACTAATTTTGTTACAGCCTTATATTTGTGTCAGACACAATACTTCCTAAAACAGGCAAACTTTTTGTTGAAGTCCAACCCGTCTCATGATCACCTCTACAAATTTCTGTATTAAATTCATATATTGATCTAATCTTCCCCTTTAATCCATTTTAGATATCTTTAACCTTCAGTTGTTAACGTACACTTTGTTTGGATACAAGGAAATGAAGATAAAGAAAGAGATGGGAACAATTTCGATGTTCAGATAAAAGATCTCCCCCACCTCCTCCTCCCCCCTTCAATAAACAGTAATACAGTATCCCTCCAAAATTGGAGAGATTCTTTAGAAAAATGAACCCCACTTTCTCCCTCCCCTTTTTTCACTTCTGTTTTGATATCCAAAGAAAGTGTAAATGTCTGTTTCCAAAATCAATGCAAGTAACCAACCACTAGAACTTATTTTCTACATAATTTGTCAACTTTTTTCTACCACTAATGGTTCTATCATTCTATGGACTTGCAGAGCCTGGTAATAACAGTTATGAGTTACACCCAAACTTTGAGGATTGGAGTTGGAGCTGAAAAGGGCTTCATAGACTCACAGAGGTTGAATTCATGCATCAAGAATGCTTTCGAGTTGATCAATGAGGCAGCAACAAAGAGCAAATAAGGACAACTAATACAATATTTATTATTGTAAGCTAAGAGTTTATCCTATATTAGAATTTATTAGAGATTAAGAATGTTTCCAAAAGACCAAAACTAGTAGAATACTCTTATGGCAACAATTTATCTCTTATGTATAACTCCTGCATCATCAATTATTATGCAATTAAGTTTGAAACTAAGACGGCGACAATCTATCACAGCTATGCGCGTAAGAACCAAGAAGAACACTCCCGGGGCATAAGAACCATCACTACCATCTGAAAAAAGAACAAGATCTAACTTTAAGGCAATATAATAACTATGTTAATTGAGAATGTTTAATGTGAACTGCTCTTATAATCAGGCCTAAGTATAAGATCACAAGATGCTTTGAATACGATTCAATGCTCGTTTCTTGGATTACAAAGCAACGGTATGGTATGTATGTGACTACTTATACATGTAAGCTACCTTAAGCGTTAAGCCTTCTACTAGGCATTGATGAGGTTCTTGTTTAAGTAGGGCATTTTGAGATGTTTTCCTCCTAAATACTAAAATAAAAGAAAATATTTTCTTTCTTTGTTACATTAACAAACGTTTTTATGAATATTTTTTAATTCATATGTGGGCTTGTGACCTAGCATCTTCAACACAAGATAACTAGATAAACATTATAATGAAATAGAGCAAAAGAAAAAGCCATACTAAATAAAATATACATATTATAGGACTGAAAAAATAGTATAAAACAAATTACAAACTGTAAAATTAAGACGAAAAATAAAATAAATATATTATAGGACAGAAGTAGTATAAAACAAAATAACGTACTGCAAAATTATGACGAAGATAGACATATTAGTCATGTCATGGATGGTTTAAAGTCTTCAAACCTAAAATAAAAATTTAAGTTTTGTACAATGTTTGAATAGTTGAGTTGCGGGACAATGAATTTTGAGCTGGCTGTCATTTTCAGTGAAAACGGTAGAAAACCGATTATTTATAGTCACTCAAGTAGTCAAAAATTCATGCTTTCAAAAAAAAAAAAAAAAAAAAAAAAAAAAATTCATAATTACAAAATTTGGAAACAAGTGATGGTAAGTTGGTAACTACAAAGTTCTAGTAAAGCCAAATTACTTCACCCATTCTTTTTTTTTTTTTTCCCTTTTTTTTCTATTTTTTTTTTATATATTTTAACGATAGGTATTGTAGTATTTCAACTAAAAAAAACTTTCTAAAAAGAATACGTGTCAACCTAAAAGAAACGGAGGTAGTATTTCAACGATAGGTATTGTAGTATTCCAAGAGAGGAAAGGAATAGTAAGAGAGAAGGGGAGAAACACAAGATGAGGAGAGAAAAAATAAAGAATTATCTTGCGATTGAAAAGTAAACTGAGACATTAGAGTAGCCAAAAGTCTTCAATAAGCCAAATACCAATCAATTAGTAAGGCACTAATTACTCTAGTCTCAAGGACTCGTCTAGTTTATCTCCAAAGTATAGATTTATATTGCTCTCTACTGCATAAATTCATATTGCTCTCTAACATATAGGGACATTGTTGTTACAATAAGGCATGTTATTTGTCGCGATTCATCTGTTGTAACTTGTAACTTATCCAATATACAGCAAATTATGCCTCAATTATATGTTTTTTACACAGCAGAAAAATAGTCACGACTCACGATCGATACTAGTACAATTTTGAACGGTATGGCTGTAATTGTTTGACAACTGCTTCAGCAATTACAAGCTTAATAAAGCTGCTCACCTAGCAAGTTGTTGATCAACAGACTTTTATCGGCAGATTTGGGAACTCACAAGCAGCTTAAACCGGAACAACCCCAGTAAAATGGATAAATATAGTATAGTACTTTCAATTGTCTCAGCAGAAATGTCTGTGATCAATCTGATCATCATCAACACAGCATGAGATATTTTGGTCCCAGGCAACCTCGTCTAATATATCGGTCCCAGGCAACAACTAGTCGCAGTAGAGTTAAAGTAGTCGATGACAAATGGTGAAAAATTAACTAGTAAGGAGAAGCATTAGGACTTATCATTTTCTGGTTAACATAAAAACCGAAATACTAGTACTAGATTAGCAATCAAGTGTCTAACAAGAAGCCAGTTTTAATATACATCTGACAAATGACGAAACATTAAATGATGAAGGGAAGCATTAGGACAAATATTATTATTTAGTTAACATTAAAAACCAATATACTATATTAGCAATAAAAGTTAGACAAGAAGCTAGTTGTAATTTATATTTGAGGTTATTAGCCTTCAGTCCTTCACGTGTGTAATTTGATCAGCTAATATGAAACTCACAAACATGTTAAAAGCTTAAAACACCTTTTATACAATTTTAGATGCACAATAGTACTATAATGATCATGAAGGCAGCAAGGCAGTAGCACGACTAAGAAAACAATAGTAGGTAAAAAATGTAACTAATATGGGTTTAGTAAGCCATCAACAAAAATGTAATGCACAAAAAGGAATTCAACTGTCAGGTTTAATTACCTCCCACAAAGTTTGCACTTATGATTGGTTTAGAGTTTCAAGATTTTAACATAGGCAGTAGAGTCAGCATCTGACATGTCGCGGTCCTGCTGCAAGACCATACTCAGCTCCTTTATATTTTTCAAATTTGTTGCTATTGTTTCTGCATTCTGCTACGTCTCACACTTAACTTTTCAACTCAAATCTTCATACTATAATATCAGCTAAGTTGTTTCCCTTCCATCACCACACCATTCAGAGGTCAAAAACCCCGTTCAATTGATTTTGTATCCTCTCAGCTGCTCAGCAATAAACTGCAGTCTGTAAAATTCTTATTGTTAAGAGAAAATGAAAACACAATTGAAGATAGCAACAAAAGGAGGCAAACAGGAAAATGATGAAGCAGAACCAGTATCTCCTACTGGACAATACTTCAACAGCAAAGTGTTGTCTATTTGTATCATTGCTGTTCTGGAGACTGAAGTTCCCATAAATGAATCTTGTGTAATGCCACAACTTCGAGATGTCTTCCTACCCCTGAACCATAGATTTTCATCTATCATGGTAATATCTTCTTCTAATCATTTGTTATTCAACTTTAAACAATCACTAACCTAAACAAAAAAAGTGTCCCTAACTGGTTAAAATATGGCTTCTAGCAGGTATCTGACAAGAAAGATGTAAAACAATGGAAGCGAGTGGAAGTGAACATGCAAGATCATGTTGTTGTCCCTAGCTTCCCTGATGGCTTATCGGTTGAGTCTTACACCGATTACTTCGATGAATATCTGACGAAAATCACTGCAGATCAATTACCACAAGATAGGCCTTTATGGGAACTTCACATATTCAAGTACCCAACAAGCAAAGCAGCTAATCATATAATCTTCAAGCTTCACCATTCACTTGGTGACGGCTATTCTCTGATGGGTGCACTTCTGTCCTGCCTGCAAAGAGCAGAAAACCCTTCCCTTCCAATAACTTTTCCTTCAACTCAAGCAACCACAAAAGTCAAGAACAATAATACAATGGAGTTCATCAACTGGATGCCAAGAATTATGTCGTCAATCTACAAAGGAGCCTGTGATTTTGGATGGAGTTTTCTGAAAAGTACCTGCAAGGCAGATGATAAGACACCCATCAGATCTGAGAATAAGGGTCTGGGCTTCAACCAAATCAAGATCTCTACCATAGAATTACCCCTAGACCAAATTAAACTGATCAAGACAAAATTAGGCTCAGTAAGTTCTCCTTTTCTCTTCTTAGTATGTTTTTTTTTTTTTAAGCAGCCCATTCAATATATAGAGTGCAAGAACAGAAAAAAAATAACATAATAACAAACTAATTTAAACCATCTATAATAGCATGCCATTGTAAAATGAAGAAAGCTTAGGAAGCTTAGAGCACATATCTATATTCCCACCATATAAAAATATATAATGAATCATCATTATAAAAAATTAACAACTGCCCAATATTAACCCATAACGAGGTCTAGATGACTAGATATATGCAGAACTCATCCTTAATCGATCAGAATGACTAGAAGCAATCATAGAAAACAAAAATTCTAAGGGGTGTCGTAAAAGTCTGTCACTTTTGACCAATCACTTTAATCTTTAAGAATGTAGCAAATTTGATAGTGATAATACACCAGCTGTTTTACCCTAACGAGTTGGCCACCAACCTAAAACCTTTTTTTAGAGCACAAGCAACTCTAAAACATTTCCAAAAGAGTTCAACAAGGTTAACACTGAACAAACAACGGCATAATAAAATCGGAAATTATAAATATGTTTAAACTTCAAAAGTCAAACTTTCTTACTCCCAAACTCCATAAATGTTGTTCTGCATAAAAGAGCATGTATGAAGGGGATATCTGTGCAGGTCCAGATTTATAGAGGCTTTGCTAAAAGACTGGAAGAAATTAACAATCTAACAAAGTTACTATTCCTTATGTCAGTGAAAGATTTTGTCATTAAAGGGTCATCAGTTCTGATTTTATTGTGTTTACTTCTTGTAGACAGTAAATGACACTGTTGCAGGCATAATATTCCTCGGGGTTCGAAGATACATGCAAGAAACTGACATAGAATCCAGCCATTCGCAATCAACAGCATTGGTGCTTCTAAACACAAGGAACATTGGAGGTTATATGTCAGTAGAGGAAATGGAAAAAACACATTCATGGGGGAACCAATTTGCATTTTTGCATATAATGATGCCTAAATTAATCAACGAGAAAAACTCCAACATCCTGGATTTTATCTATAAAGCACGTAACCAAATCATGAGGCTCAGGAATTCACCAGCAGTCTACCTCACCGCTCAGTGCCTAGAGCTTATAAGGAAATGCAGAGGACCTGAGGTACATTAGTGATCAAATTTATTTATGCAGATATATCTCCTTTTACAGTAGTCTTCCTGATCACGCTTAGTCTTTGATCTCGATTTAAGTTAAACTGTTAAAGTGAGGTAATGACACAGTAACACCTATTATACATGATGAACCATGTGTTTGACCAATAATATCTTAAAATGTCTACCAGTAAAATTTCAGAAAATTGATATTATGAAAATATACATTACTAATCCAACAACATACTATACAATAACATTTTTATATATGAGTATACAGGAAGTAAGTCAAAGCTAATATGTGAAAAGTGCAACAAATCATAGTCACTTAAAAAACAGAGGGTGTAATCGACATAGTACCAGTGTTCCTTAATTTCCCAACTCCCAAGGCAGTTTAAGGAATCCGTTTGTCGATCATAAATTTAAGGAAGCTATGGTTGATGATAAGGAAGTTGAGAGTTATAATAAATATTTATTTATTTCTTAAGCTTGGAGGGTGGTTGTTCACTAACAAAACAGGTATTTTGTTGAAAAAGAACACCAAGAAAATTTGAAGCATGGTTATACTGTCTTTCAGGCAGTAGCAGAACTCATCCATAGTACACTGAATAAATCAAGCATGGCAATAACAAACATGATAGGTCCAGTTGAGCAAGTGACGTTGGCTGATCATCAAATAAAAGGCATGTACTTCATGGTTGTGGGCAGTCCTCAGGTAAGCAAAGCAAAATGTAGTCATTCAGACAACAATTTTATACTTCCAATATTTTCTCTTCGTAATTTCAAGTATTTAAACCAAGTGAGAGACCCTTCTACCATGTCATGTTGTAAAACAATTCCAAAAAAAAAAAAAAAAAAAAAAAAAAAAAAAAAAAAAAAAAAAAAAAAATCTAACTTTAATTATTGTTACATGTTGACATTATATAATCTCCCTAATTATTTCATATGAAAATAGCTCAGTTCTCTTACTTACACATGCATTATTTATCTTGATTCTATTTATTACCTGGTTAAAATACTTAAAAATCTGTGCACATAACTAACTATAAATTCTCTATTTGTGTCAGCAATCTATTTCCTGTAATTGACTCTTAAGCTTGTTTTTCCTACCAATTAACGGTTCTATGGTTGGGACTTGCAGAGCCTGGTAATAACAATTATGAGTTATGCGCAAACTTTGAGGATTGGAATAGGAGCTGAAAAGGGCTTCATAGATTCACAGAGATTGAATTCGTGCATCAAGAATGCGTTCAATTTAGTATCAGAGGCAGCTACAAAGACTGGATAAGATCATCAAACAACGAAAAATGGTCAACAATTATCTCTTAGTATTTTAAGTCAATAATTAGTTCAAATACTACTTAAAATATGGGTGTTGTTATGGGATGGATGTGACTATGCTTAAACATTTTAATTAGCTCTAATCTTTGGGTCATTTATAAGGTTGTCTTAAATTTTCTATTCTGTAAAATGCTGAACACAGACGACAATGGTAATGTTCAACTTCTATCTATATAAGCTTGTATTCTTACGAAGGGTGCCCATCCTATACTGGGTTTGCATAAACATTCTTTCACATTCTTTTTCCCATCCATGTGTCTACACGTGAGGCATGCAGGGAAGAGAATGTGAGAAAACACAACTTAGCATTAAGTAAACAACTAAAGGTTACACTCCTACACTAATCAAATGAAGCACACTCTACCTGGGAATTTTTCTGGTTTAATACTATCATTTAAGAACAATAATTATGCAGTGTTGTTTATTATTATCTTATTTGTGCTGACAGAATCCTTTTACGTAGTTGATTAATTTTTGGTATAGTTCTGTAATTGTGTTGCAATTAAAACTGGGATTGAATCCTTGGTTTTTGTGCAAAATGGGGTTGGTGCATTTGTATGATATGATACTTGTGAATTTCCTGAGAGTTCATACAAGATGTTTGATAAACTGCTTGTTATAAATCTGTGACTTAGAATTCTGCTATCAATGGGTTTGTTTTGAATGGGAAGCCTCATGAAGTTCAGGATTTTTTAAGACAGATGAACTTGGTAGGTGTTGAGCACTTGAGCCTGATGGGTTTGAATGAGAATTTGCACGCAGTTAACTTGCTTTTAGATTGTTTTTCTGCTCTTTTAGATCTTCATTGTGGTTAGAGGTGGCCAGTGGGCCGGGTTGGACCCAGCCCACCCTAACTCGCACGGCTGGTGGGTCACGTGGGTCCGACCCGGTTTCAATCCGGCACAGCCCGGCACAGCTCGGATTTAATCCGGGTTGTGTCGTGGGTCCAAAATTTTCGACACAACCCATTTCAACCCAGCTCAGTTTAACCCGTTTGATTCGACCCAAATCGCACAACCCGTTTTGACTCATTTAATTCGACACACCTAGCCCGTGAACCCACCTAACCCGACCCACCTGGCACAACCCAGCCCGCACGGCCCACCCGCACGAATGACCCACCCAACCCGCACGAGCCAACCCACCTAACCCGCACGCATGACCCACCCAACCCGCACGCATGACCCACCCAACCCGCACGGCCGGCACAACCCGCACGGCCCGCACAGCCCGCACAATTCGCACGACCCGCACGGCCCGCACGGCCTAACATCCATTTTAAAAAAATAACGGCTAGTTTTTTGTATCTAACGGCTAGTTTTTTGTATCTAACGGCTAGTTTTTTAAGTGTATGATCATCCATTCTATTTTTCCTATAAATACCAATTCCATTTCACTCAAATTTCCACACAAATTCAAGCTTTCTTTCTCTCTTACTTAAAAATTCTTATTGTTCTCAAATTCTCAAGTGTTATATAGAGTTATATTTTTGTTAAAAAAAATCTCCTTAATATTATTATTAGTATTCTTAAGATTCTAAAAAAAAAAAGTTCTTCTCCATATTATAATTAGTAATCATACAAAAAAAAAATGAGCTCAAGAGGAGGAATGGGAAGGAGTCAAAGTGGTGGTCGAAGTGGTAGCCAAAGGAGTGGTGGTGCAAATTTTTCGTATGAAATTAATACGGAAAATTTAAACCAATTTGTCAATGAATATGGAGATTATGGTTTAGGAGATAGGCAAAATATTCAAACGTCTCCACCACAACATTTCTCCCACGAGTCCCACCAATCATCAAGTTCAACTATGCCACCTCCATCGCAACCAACATCTCAACCTTCATCTCAAGGTAATTTCTAATTAAATTTTTATTGTTATGAATATTTAAAAAAACTATTATTAATGATTATAAAGTTAGTTTAGTTTCCAATTTTCTATGATTTACAATTAGTTAATTACCATGAAAAATGCGTTTAAATAAGTATAATTAAAATATTTAAAATTTAAAAGCTTATTTTCATGAATAGCATTTAAAAATTAATTTTAATAATTTGATTTATGAAAGGTGGTGGCGGTGAAAGTAGAGGTCGAGCACATTTTTCTTGGGTGTGGAAACATTTTGAACGAGTTGAGGTCACACCCCCGGGATGGCAACCTGGTCAACCAAAGAGGTTCACGTGTACATGCCTAGTTTGCAAGGCGCTAGGTGCAAATGTCAAGTCATATAATTGGAAAACGGGAGATGGAACCGGAACCTTGAGTCGGCATTTGCAAAATAAACACGACTTGTTCGAAAATGGCCCCCGTCCTTCGGGGGGTGGCGTCCAAACACAATTGGGTGGATACATGAACCAACCCGGCGGAGGTACACCTTTCATTTATAATAAAGATAGAATGATTGATGAAATGAGTACTTTAGTTATTGCTAATGAATACCCTTTTAGTTACGGTGAAAATGCAAACGTTGAGCATTTTAATAAAGTTGCATTACAACCTGCATTTACTCGTGTCCCCCGAAATACCCTAAGACGTTATACACAAACTTCTTATTATAAGTATAGGAGTGGTTTGATTGAATTATTTCATACTTTTGATGGTCGTGTTAGTTTTACAAGTGATACATGGACTTCTAGTTTTGGCGAACCTTTTCTTTGCATTACTGCTCATTGGGTGGATGATGATTGGTTTATTCAAAAACGTATACTATGTTTTCAAGCTATGGAAGAAAGGCATACCGGTTTTAACATCAAAGTTCGTATTTTGGATTGTTTAAAAGAATTTCACTTGAATAATAAAGTTTTTTCTTTGTCTCTTGATAATGCAACTGCAAACACAAAGTGTATTGACTATTTGAAAAATGACTCCGAGTTGAATTTGTTGTTGGGTGGTAGTCTCTTGCATGTTAGATGTTGTGCTCATATTTTGAATTTGTCTGTTCAAGAGGGTCTCGCTGAGTTGCAACCATTGCTAAACCCAATTAGAACAGTTATAAAATGGATTAGGATTACTCAGTCAGTTAGAAGAAAGTACATAGCTATGTGTAAAGAGAGAGGTCTTAAGAAAAGACAATGGTCTATTGATACCCCTACCCGTTGGAATTCTACTTTCAAGTTGTTGAGTGATGCTATAAAGTATCGTGATATTTTGACCCAACTTTACAATGAGACTCGTGTTGATCCTACTGAGTTAATAACCGAAAGTCATTGGACTAATGCTTCTTTTGTTCGTGATGTTTTAAATGCTTTTGATAGTGCAACTCATATTTTCTCTTATATTTATGAGCCTAACGTTCATTTAGTCATAATTGAGTGTGTTAAAGTTGTTCACACCATCGAAGAGCATATGAAGATTGATGGACTTCGTCCCGTTCTTGATAGCATGAAACGTAAGTGGCATACTTATTTTAGTGAATTTCCAATCATTTATGGAATTGCTGCTATTCTTGACCCCGGTGTCAAAGCTGAAGGTTTGGAAAATCTTTTAGAATTTTATTATACAAGTTTAAGTATCGATTATGATGTTAGTGAATATATTAACAAATGCAAATCTGTTTTGGGAGACCTTTATGATCATTATGCATCTATTTATGGTTTTGATTTGGCAACACCAACTACTACTAGCACTTCCGATTCTAGATTTGGTTTTCTTGATAAAGTTATGAAAAAAAAACACAAAGCATCTACATCATTCTCATCATCATCTTCTTCAACACTTGCTATTAATGATTATTTGTCATATCAACATGAGACCAACAACAACTTTCAAATTATAAAATGGTGGCAAGAACATAAAAAAAGTTTTCCTATATTGGCGAGAATTGCAAAAGATATACTTGCAGTTCCCGCTTCATCTGTTGCTTCCGAGTCTGCTTTTAGTGCAGGTAGAAGAGTGTTAGATGAAAAAAGATCTCGCTTAACTCCGGAAAGCATTCAAATTTGTGTTTGTAAGAAAGATTGGGATCAAGCTGAAAGAAGAACTCAAGGTTTAAAGGAAGACGAAGACGATGAAGATGATCCTGTGATGATATTGGAGTCGTCAACGGATGATGCAGCTTCCGGGGATGATGATGCAACAAACATGGGTGGCTAGAAAAGTCTAAATCAGGTACGCTAAGAACTACGTGGGCTTTGATTCTTTCGGGATACGTAGGCAACTTATTTTTCGAAAATTACAATTTAATTGCAAAATTAAATTTTAGTTTTCTAAAGATAGGTCCAAGCCCCCCCCCCCCCAAATTTCAAAAGAAGTACAATATAAGAACTACGCTGGCTTTGATTCCTTATTTTATAATATAAGGATACGTAGGCATCTTAATTAAGAGCAAGCCATCAAATTGTTAATTTTGTAAAAATTAAAACACCACACAACCCACCCGACCCTAACCCACGAACCCACCCGACCCTAACCCACAAACCCACCCGACCCTAACCCACCTAACCCACAAACCCACCCGACCCTAACCCACTAACCCACCCGACCCTAACCCACCTAACCCACAAACCCACCCGACCCTAACCCACTAACCCACCCTTCGACCCACCCTAACTCACTAACCCACCTTGACCCGTCTAACCCACGAACCTAGCTCGACCCACCCATGACCCGTCTAACCCACAAACCCAGCTCGACCCACCCACGATCCGTCTAACCCACAAACCCAGCTCGACCCACCCACGACTCGTCTAACCCACGAACCTAACCCTGGTGTGTCCAACTTCTCCGACCCAACCCACGACCCGGCCCACCCTACCCTACGTGTGTCGTGCCGTGTGTCATGAAACCCCAACCCGCGACCCACCTAACCCTAACCCAGCTCGCACGACTCGCACGGTGGACACCTCTAATTGTGGTTGAGGTTGGAGGTTGGAGTAACTGGGAGTCTAGGGGTCTAACTTTGTTAACATCTCACAAGACTCCGTCAACAGAACAACTTAACGTCTGTCAAGCCAGTTATCAGGTGAAATTAGACAGATTTCCAAATTGTCTTCCTAAAAGTACAAAATTACCTCCATGCAATGCATTCTATGTTTATCAAGAAGAGAAACATGGATATTCCCGATTTTCTACTTCAAATATTTATAAGCTTTCTACCATTTATGTACCTATATAAGGCACTGTTCACTTCACCTTATAAAAATAATATTTAGTAAAAATAATTTCAATTCAGTAAAATTAATTTTAGTACAGTAAAAATAAGTTCAGTTCAGCAAAAATAATTTTAGTTCGGTAAATATAATTTCAATTTAGTAAAAATCAGTAAAAAAAAAGGAATAAATATACGTAGTACTAGTAATAGAAAATCAGTATAAATAATTTCAGTTCAGTAAAATTATCTTCATTTCAGAAAAAATAATCTAAGTTAAACAAAAATAATTTAGTTCAGTAAAAATAATGTCAGTATTTTTTTAGAAAGCGGTAGTAGATTCGAGCAAAATATTTAGTCCTGCTTCACTAACCTTGCTAATTTCATATTTGAGTTAAGATCGGCCTACTACTCCGTATTAGCTAATCTTTGAACCCTCAAGCTAAAAATCGTCAATACACCACAGAGGCAAGACAAGAGAAAAACATAAAGCAACAAAGAATTCCAAAGCACCATCTTGATGATCAAAAAGGATAAACAAAATAAAACGGGCCAAGTAAAACAGCAAACCAAAGATCAGCACTCAAAAGAACACAACATACAACAAAACTAATCGACACATAAAGAAGCAGCTTCAGTTTGCACAACCAAATCTTCTAAGCTCATAGATTCTCAAAATGACAATTTCATGATACGATGAAATATTGAAAATGCTATACCAATTTGACTTCTAAAACACGAACTTAACATTTATAAACTCTAACTAAAAATCTAAAATAACAATAATTTAGCAATAAAAATCAACAATTTCAGTGCTTATTGAAATTCACTTGAACAAACAAAACAAACATAAAACAAACCCAATTACAGACGAATTTAGACTTCATCAAGCCGTAATTGATAATCAAATGAATTCAAAATATTTGAATTATAATTGGCAGAACACAATTAAACTGCAAAAAAATCAAGAACAGATAAACAATAAAACAAGCAATTCAATTGAGAAAACAGATTTAAGAGAAGTTGAAAGGAAGAGAATAGAGGATGACTACCTGGCGGTGATAATATACATTGAAGATGATCGGGGAACCGCTGAGCTTTGATCATCTAATTGAACTCTGATTACCATCCATGACATCCGGCGTCATCATTAATCTCTAGTTTCCTGTGTCCTAATTGATAGTCCAGTCTATTCAAAAAAAAAAAAAAAAATAAATAAAAATTATTGATAGTCTAGTCTCATTTGTTTTTTTAAAAAATACCATTAATACTTCCTCCGTTCTTTTATTATTGCACCACTTGTCATTTTAAGAAGTTTCACAAATATTGCATCAGTTCCTCTTTAGGAAAAAAATTATTTGTGTTCACACTACAAATACCCAACATATCTTTGCTTTTTCACACTTACTTTTTAGTTTGTTAATATGTCACATGGGCAATTTTGTATTTTTACCTTTCTCTCTCTTACGGATTACTTTTTTCCACTACCAAAAAATTTGTACCCAACCCTTATAGTGCAATAATAAAAAAACGGAGGAAGTATTATTATTTTATTTTATTTTTACCTCAAAAAAAATCAAAAAAGTTGTTTTTTATCATTAAAACTTTTAAAAGTTATATACTTGGTCGAACATAGCATTGGGAATAAGATAAAGTTGCATATTTTCTGCAATTGTGCAATTGACAGGAAATAAGTTGGAGAAAGGAAGAAAGTTGATTAGAGCTTTCAAAACCATGTCATAAATATTCATTTTTATTTAATGCAATGTTCAGAATTAAATATTCATTTTTTTCTAGTAAAAGTTCATTTTTTTTGCTAGTAGATGCTCATTTGCTAGACGCGACCATAGCTAGGCTAAGCGCGACCTCAATCAAAAATTTGTGTTTAAAAATCATTAATTATGCTAAATAAACATCTTTTGGGCTTTGGGAGAGTATAGTTAAAGTTTAAAAATATGGGGAGAGTATAGTTAAAGTTTAAAAATATGGGGAGAGTATAGTATTTTTAAGGGCGGGTTTGGGAAGCCGATTTTATGCATTTTTAGTTGTTTTTTTTTTTTTTTTGGCCAGGTCGAAAATGACCCGAAAAAACCCGGACATTTTAGACGAATTTTGGCACAAAAATTTTGGCCCAAAGCTTAGCCCTACCAAACCCAACCCGAGAAGTGGGTTGATTTATTTACGGTCTTGACCCGCCCCGTCTAATGAACACACCTCTAAATTTGAGTCTTTGAGAGAACCCTCTAAACTTGGTGTATTTTTCTAAAGAAAGGAGGAAGGGGGGTGTGGGGGGAAGGAAATAAATACTGTACAGATTTGCAACCTAATCAATATGGGCTTTGGTCTAGGCCAGTACCAATTTATCTTAAAAAATGTAGGCCCAATCCTAATAAACGTTTTGCCTAGGCTTAGTTTGGACCAAGAAGTCATAATACGAAGTAGATTAATGCACTGTCACCTACGAGGCTACGACAATTATGTGTATCTTATGTCAAGACGTCTAAAAGTCTAACCATTTCATATGGAAAGAACTCTCCTCTACTTGATCTTGGTTGTTACTAGTAGCTTTAAAAATGTCAATTAACTTAGCTGGTTAAAATATTTAGAATTGATCTCTAAGACCTGCAAATCATATATACAAAGTAGATAACATTTGTTGCGAGTCTTTTATACCAAGAAAAAACGTACAACCAATGGGTTACTAATTACTACGTACATACTGTTCTCTATCTTTCTGTTTTGACAGTCCAAATACGTGAGCCAGCCTTTTGGCCCTTTTCTGTCCTAATAGAAATGTACTATCGGTCTATCCAAATAAGGGAGTTGAGTAACAAAATACTTCGTATATGTACTATCGGTCTATAGATCTCTGTGGAGGTTGCGGTGTTGGTATGGGATTGATATGGCTCTGCTCAAGTTATCAGTTAGCTCTCCTCGTCTTCACCAATAATTATGTAATATGCTTATTCTTGTTCATGTAGAACAAACTAAATAAAATGCAATGGTATTACTAATGGTATCTAGCGCACTTGTATTCTTATATTATGACTTTGTTGCTTGGTATGAAGGCATGCAACCAAAGCTTACATGATTTGCTCAAAATTATTTGTTGTGCTTGTACTAACACCAACACACAATTGCAAATAGAACGGCAAACTAGTATCCATGGTTGGAGAATTCATAACTATGATCTCGATTTGCAGATTGAAATAGAGAAACTAGTGAGAAAGTCACATTAGACAATATTATTATAGTCGGGATTTGTTGGAAATGGTAATGCAATTGGATAATTACAAAGCCTGACGATCCGCACTCGTTGGGGATTAAATGTCTCTACTCGCGGTTGACTAGGTGGGCCGTCACCCGACCAGGCCCACCTAATTTGGTTGAGTTTTATTCTTGGGATAAATATAAATACGAGTATTGTCTTCTTTCCTTTTTTTTTCTGAAATTTAATAATATACTGAACTCTAAAATATAAACACAAACCTATCCTTTTGACATCTGAACCGTTCTTGAGTAACGAATTGTGGAGGTTGTTGTGTAAAACTTGGGAGGGGGGGGGGGGGGGGGGGGGAGGGCGCGTCACCGGAAAACCTATACCGGTGATGGCGTATTTCGCTTCTAAGGCAGTGGGTTCCAAACCATAGCACAACCGAAGCAGGACATGTCTTTGATTCGAGTATGGCGGTAGAGTTTGTTCCAAGGAAGTTTTGGGTTTGTCTATTATCATTCATGGAATCAACATGTATTTTTTTCCAACAGGATTCAATCTCAAGTCTTTGAAATTACCCCTTAAGACTTTAATCAACCAAACAAGATGGCAAATGACATCCACATAACAAGTATGAAAGGTGATAATAAAAAAAAAAATTGAATTGCAACAAGACAACAATCAATATCAGTAAATGCCCAACTTTTTTTCACCCAACTGAAACCGTGATTTTCACAATCTTGGCAATTGTTCAGATTACTTCTCAGAACATTCATGTTTTTGACCTCCAAAAAATAGTACAGCAGTAACTGGTTCAGATTTCACTGTACTTCAATCTTATCCCCTTAATTTCTACATAGAATGAAGTCAATGAACCCAGTACATTAATTTTCAATTGTCATGGCCTGCTTCAATAGTCAATATTCAGCACAAAACTGTGATCAATTGATCATTCAACACATAACATTAAAGCATTACATGTGCTGGAACCCGTGCCCTTTTTTCAGCAATTACTACTACACCGACTAATGGACTATTTATTACTAGTCTACAAATAATCACCATCTCCAGGTAAAAATCAATATCCGGCTAATTGTCTAACAGTTGGACACGTAGCAAGGGGGTGAAATGCCGTTAGTGCCCTCAACGTAGACTACAGTTTTCTCATCAAGAGCTTGTCCAATTGAACACTCCTAGCCGGCCAGAAGACACAATGAACCGAGCTATAGATAAGCGACACAATTTACATCACAAACAGCTTGCTTAACGACTTAACGTAACTTTTACATGCACGGCGATGCTAATCATGCTATAATGGTACCGACAGCAAAACTGCAGGGATAAAACGGTGCCATGAAGACAGACAGCAAATATGGCCGTGTTAATTCATAGTTGACAGTCTAGACACTCTATACATACACACTTGAATGTATTGCAGGTAATGCAGTTTCATAGCCTCTCAGGCAACAATACTGCAGCATTGCAGAGTAATTATTAGAACAGCTATCATTTTTCGGTCAATACCTAAGCCATTTTACTAAATTCAGCAAGTAATCCTTAGCATATGAGGAATTACTTAAAAGGTAATATTTTGATTAGCTAATATGAACCTCACAAGCAGTATGACTAATAATGATGCAGTGTCATGTGCCAAGGAGTACTAAGAAAAATTGTAACAATTGACAAATATAACAAATTAATCATGGCAGTTAGGTGTTGAAATTAATACTCGTATTTACATGCATGATGTTGAATTCAAAGAAAATTATGCACTCGATGATTGATTGAGATAATATTAAATAACATGACCATAACCAGTGAAATAAGCACCTTTTCTACATTCCTTCCAAACGTTCGTCCTATAAATTCCGCTAACGTTGTTCCACTTCTCACCTTCACAACCTACAAACGAAAGGAAAAAAAAAAACTTGTTCATTGATAGTTGTAATACATCCATATAAGAGAAAATGAAGTCTAAGTTGCAAATAAAAACGGAAAAAATCAACCTGCAGGAAAAGGATGCATCAGAACCAGTATCTCCTACCGGACAATACTTCAACAGCAAATCACTGTCAGTTTGCATCCTTGCAGTTCTGGAATCAGAAGTTCCCGTCGATGACTCCTGTGCAATTCCACAACTACGAGATGTTTTCCTTCCAATTAACCCGAGATTTTCTTCTATTATGGTAATAAATACATTTCATATCTTCCTTTAGTTTTTCACTTCTACTTTAAAATAGTAGTGTTACAATGTTACTGACTAGCAAAATTACTTCAAGCAGATAAATGACAAGAAAGGTGTAAAGCAATGGAAAAAAGTACAAGTGAACCTTCAAGATCACCTTATAATTCCCAGATTCCCAGAGGGCGTATCAGTTGAATCATACAACGAATACTTCGACGAATATCTGACAAAAACTAGTTCAGACTTATTGCCACAAAATAGACCTTTATGGGAAGTTCACATATTCAAGTACCCAACAAGCAAAGCAGCTGGGCATATAATCTTCAAGCTTCACCATGCACTTGGTGACGGCTACTCTCTGATGGGAGCACTTCTTTCCTGCGTAAAAAGAGCAGATAATCCTTCTCTTCCGTTAACTTTTCCTACTACTCGATCAAGCTCAGCAAACAAGAGCAGCAATTCGACAAGGATTATCGAATGGGTGCCACAAACTATATCTGCAATCTTCAAAGGAGCCTATGATTTTGGATGGAGTATTCTGAAAAGCACTTACAATCCTGATGATAAGACACCCATCAGGTCCGGAAAGAGTCAGGGTTTCCAACCAACCAAAATCTCTACTATTGAACTATCCCTAGACCACATTAAACTAATCAAAGCAAGAGTAGGAACGGTACGTTGTTCTTTCTATTTCTTTTTGCTTTTTGTATAGTTTAATTAAAACAGTTTAAGAAATAATATTCCTCCGTAGTAATTATTAGTTTTATTTAGTAAGTGCAAATCAAATCAGTAAAAATTACTCGTATCAATATGACAAAACTAATACAGCAATAAATCAAATAAATATACTTATATCGCAAGAAATAACTTTTAATCAGTAAAAATGTTTGTAATAAATACAAATAGTTTCAGTCCAGAAAAGATGGTAAAGGCCGTATTTTAGCTGATTTTTCTGACGCCTAATTAGCATTATAATACGGAGGCATAAATTCTTTCCAAAAATTGGATGATGCATCCTAAACTTTATAACAAAAATTTATAATCCAACCATAAAGGCATATAATCCCATAAAACAGCCTTAGAAAACATGAATTCTAATTGATGTAGTACTAAAGTAGTTGCAGACAAACAATTCTTTTAAAAAAAAGTAGTACTTGTTGTGCTCCCTCTATTTATTTCAATCTAGTATTCATCAATGTTTCATAAAAGCAAGATCACCCAATAATGATTGGCATAGGATTTGCTAAGAGAACTGAAAAACTTTGGTACTGACTGTTCTGTTTACTCCTGCAGACAATCAATGACATTCTTGCAGGCATAGTTTTCCATGGAATTCGAGTATACATGCAAGAAATTGACCCAGAATCCAGCATTTCACAATCTACAGCTTTGGTGCTGCTCAACACTAGGAACATCACAAGATATATTTCAGTTAAGGAAATGAAAACAGCAAGTACCAAGATGTGGGGGAACCAATTTGCATTTTTGCATGTAGCGATTCCTGAACTAATTGATGATAACTCCTCCAACCCCCTTGATTTTGTCTATAAAACACAGCAACAGATTACGAGGCTCAGAAATTCACCAGCAGTTTATCTCACAGCTCAGTGCCTAGAGATTGAAAGGAAATGCAAAGGACCTGAGGTACATGAATTTAATGATCATATTTCTTTATGCACATGCTGTCTTTTTTTAAGCTTTCATTAGACTTCAGGATGCCTTAGATCAAGATAAAAGTGTACTTGCCTTAGTAGAAATTCTCTTGGTGGGCAAACAAACTTCAGTCACAAGTGAATATGATTCAGAGACGTTTCCACATCAATGAATTTTTTTTATCAACACATGTGAAGTGGAACGTTTATCTCCGTCTCCATTTACCTATATTTGAAAAGAAGTCCAGATTAAATGCACGTTATTGACGATCAGAAATTTATACACAAGTGATATTGGCTTATCTTAAAATACTGACATAAATATCTTTAATTAGTCTTATGTAAGCAAATAGCATAAAAAACAATCTTATTATCATACTTACTGAAACTAAGCAGTTCTGAATATTGGCGTGTACAGTATAAAATTTGAGGACACTAGACTTATTACAGGTTTCCAAAACTAAACAGAACCAGTCCGATAACTTCCCTTTGTATACTTAATCAATCAAGCTTGTATATTAGAATGGTAGTTTGTTGATTAACTATACTAATAAAAAGAAAGACTAATAAACAAAACAAAATAAATTCTGTTTCAGGCAGCAGCTGAACTTATCTACAATACAATGAATAAATCAAGCATGGGAATGACAAATATGATAGGTCCAATTGAAAAAGTGGCCTTGGTTAACCATCCTGTCAAAGGCATATACTTCATGGTTTGCGGCACTCCTAAGGTAAGGGTTCATAATACTTCTGTCCATCAGTTTAAGTGATTGATAATGCAAACCTTAAACATCATTTCCTAAACATTTGTCAGTTATATATGTTGCTTGATCGATCTATGTCATCCTCAATTTAACTACAAATTGCTTATTCCTTCATGTAGATTAACAGTTTTCAGAATCAGTACTGATTTAATGCTTTAGTTAACTCTTGACCCCTCATCCACCACTAACAATTACTCTGCGGATTTGCAGAGCCTAGTAATAACAATCATGAGTTACATGCAAACTGTGAGGATTGGAGTAGGAGTTGAAAAGGGCCTCATAGACTCACAGAAGCTGACCTCATGCATCAAGAATGCTTTTGATCTGGCGTACGAGGCAGCTTCAAAGAGCCAATAAAAAGAACTTCAAACAGCATAAAGTTTATCCTCAAGGTGCTGATTTGGGAATGATGCAACTCACCTCATATATATGACATTTCAGGCCTTGCAATTCTTTGCTCTATTCATCAGCAATTACTATGTCATGTCTAGTCTAGTAAGAGGAGTGCATTTGGATCCTTTTCTAAGAAACTTTTAAGAAAAAAAAAAAAAAAAAAAAAAAAGTGGTTCATGGCTATATGCCTATATATATGTACACTTCTCCTTGTATCAGTGTGGCATTATGCGTAATTCATTGTCATGAATGACATTTTGGAAGAGGAACTGTAATAGCATAATCGATAATTACATGAAATCCTCAATGTTATATGCTATTAGGACCTTGTTCTTCTATACTATTGTGCTCAAACATTGTCAACTTAGAGCAATATTATCCCTCATCACATGAAAATATCTTAAGGCGATATCTAGTGGTGCTAACTTCATACTATGATCCAATTTGTGTAAGGTTACAAAGTTTGGACAACTGATCAATGTCAAATGTGGCTCAACTACCCTTAAAAGAAAGTAGCACTACTGTTAAAATTCCAATTAAAATCTAGGAATTTTAACATACTATACTGATAAGAAATGTGTTGTGTTATGCCTTAAATTCTCTATGACAATTTGGCATTACAGACAAAAGCCCAAATCTTCCGATCTCTTCTAGAAGCATAGAGCTGTCACAGGAAGAAAAATAACTCAACAAATTAAAGTATAGTTTTGCTTGAAGTTTAATTATGGTATTTAACACCCCTGCATGTTATTTCTCACAAGGTTGAAGCCTTTCAACATTGGTAGCTCATATATGACTTTAAGGGCATAAAGCATATTTCATTAACTCCGCCTATTGACTTCTAAACCCCAATCATAGAAGGGTCAAAGATACTTACACCCTTAAGCACCTACAGTTGGGAGGACTCGAACTCGTGGACATCAAGATTACAAGATGAATCCTCAACCAACTATATCAAATCTTGCAATCAAACTTGTAAAACACAAAAGGGTTACCGTTTTACTATGAGTTACAGAGCAACAGATAGAGTGAAAGAATTATGCAGTTGAGTCTCCTTGCATATTAAGAGTTTGAGCCATATAATTTGTACACTCTCAATCTTGTATATTTGTCTACATAAAACTATGGGGTAATACAATTGTCCATCTTCTAACCAAGCATGCTTGGTGGAGTTAGTGGGAAACTCACCCGGTCATAAGTTCCAGCCCCACCAACTACAAATGCTTTGGAGTAGGGCCGTAGGGGAATTCCCTCACCTCCCCCTCTACTCTCCCGTGATGACCTGCGAAGCTGCAGTGGCCAAACTTGTGAGAGGTACCAGCTCAGTAAAGTCCTGCGAAGCTGCAGTGGCCAAACTTGTGAGAGGTACCAGCTCAGTAAAGTCCTTTATCTTACCTTTAAAAAAAAGGTACAAGTTCTAGAATTGGACTTCCAGCATTACAATTAGCATTAATATAGATATTAATTTCAGCATTAAGCTATTAACATGCACAATTACTTCACCAAAAAAATTTAACATGTACAATTACAATTAGTTAGGTAATTAGTTAAGAACTTAAGAACCTAACATCAATGTCGCAAATAATTCCAATAAATTCATGTAAATAAATAAAGAATTTGCATGCTCACAATAATTTTTTCTGAATTCCGGAAGTTAAGGTTTAAAATCTCCATACCAAATTCGCCAACAATTAGCCTCTGCCCAGATAACATTGGTCTGAAATGCTCTCGTTTTCACTAAAATTGGGGAAATTTAGGGTTTTTTACGTACTTGTAATCTCCTATGCTCAAATTCTTTCAACAAATTCATATTTTTTTGGAAAGGTTCTTGTGTATTTGGTACAAATTTTTGGGCATGGATACACCTACCCACTGGGTAGTTTACCCTGTTGATGTGGAACTGACGTGGCAATGATGTGTAATAAAAACTGTTTATTTGACCCACTTTTAGACCACTATCAGCAGTGAGGAAAAAAAAACCTCTCAATCTCTCTCTACCCACTTTCTCACTCCTCCCATACAATTTCTCTCATCAAATGTTTTTTTCACTACATCAATGAGGAGAAAAAAAAACCTCTCATCACTTTTTCCTCCACTATTTACTATACCCCACCATAATACACATCATCTTTTTATTTTATCTTTATTTTGAAATAATGTTTATACTACATATTTAATTTTCCAATACAATTAAAATATGTGAAAATAATTTATTTTTTAATTACGTTTAAAAATAATTTAATAAAAATGTATAATTTAATAACAATTTATAAGTTTTATATTTACTTTTCAATTACGTTTAAAAATAATATAATAAAAATTTATAATTTTTATATTTATTTTTCAATTACGTTTCAATTATAACTTAATAAGATTGTTATTTATTTGTCAATTACGTTTTAATTATAATTAATAATATTTTTTTTATTTTTCAATTACGTTTTATTTATAATTTAACATTTGAATTAGTAGCACATTTTTGTAATGAACACATTAAATAGTCACATGGGAACTTCAATAACGGTATATCAAAATATATCAAAATGCATGTCTATTTATAGAGAAAAAAAAAATCTATCCGTTGGTGAATTTTGTTTTTTTTTTTTTATAATTACAACGGTTATATTTACCTTACAAAAATATAACCGTTGTAATAAAAGCAAAAAAATCTGATTGGTTGGAAGGACAAAGCCTGACGCGTGTCGCATCCCCATTGGCTGGGTCTGACGCGCGTCAGGCCAGCTGCCCCCTTATTTTTTTTCCCTTTTTGCCCCTCAAAACGGCGTCGTTTCGCCCTTCTTTAAGGCAAAACGACGTCGTTTTGCAAGCCAGAAAGGAAAAAAAAAAAGGGAAAGCAGCGTGTACATGTGGGGCCCACCGGTTACTGTTCACGAGTATTTCCCCTCAACTCTTGTGCGTTTTCCATAGCTCTCAACGGTGAGGGTTTTTTCCCTCACTAACGTAATGCTCGGGTATTTTTTTTACACCTTTATTTTTACTCGTGAGGGTTTTTTTCCTCACTGCCGGGAGTGCTCTTAACACCATAAAATCATTAATAATGCAATTTAATTTTCCAATAAGCATAATACAGGGAACTAGACAACATATTTAATGCATTCCAATTTTCTAAATCTAAATCATTAAAGTGAAGTTTTAATTTACTGTACAACACTAAATAATTTTTTTTTTATTTTTTATTTTTTAAAAAAAGACCATTTGCATTCTTCATGAGTACAACAAGAAGGTGCTAACTATTCCTCTTTATTGATAAAGTCTTGCATGATTTTCGTTATCAAAAAAATATACTCCATAATTATACAAGCTTCAATCAAAACAATTATTATTCTGTAATTTGGCTTCAAGTGATGATGTCCTTCCGATAACAATATTAAAGGAGTTTATCACAGGTTAGTAAACTATTTTTTATGTCATAATCTATCAATTTGTTGTGGTATGAAATAATCTTCTTGAAAGCAGATATAGTTTATATTTAATCATATACTTATGTGATAACTTAAATTATTAAGAACGATTTTTTTTATAGTCAATATTTTAATTTTAATCAAAATAATACTAGTTTAAAAAATCAGTTATTTGATAGTTATTTTTTTTATTTGATAGTTATTCTATAACATTTTATTTATGATATTTGAAAACATTGTAAACGATTTTTTTTACACGATATTTTTATGTGAAACGATTTTTTTTAATCAAACAATAAAAAAACATATAACTACAATTTTTTTTTTTTGAGGGAATAAACATATAGCTATATTATTGAACAAGATAATAGGAAACAAATTCTTAAAATATCTACTACCTCCGTTAAATATTATCTGCAACTTTTGCCATTTCGGGATGATCAGGGTTATCTGCAACTTTCCATTTTTTTCCGTTTTTAGTAAACAAAAAAGCATGAAATTACCATTTTACCCTTACTTATGTTTTATTTTTTTTTAATTACTACCTTATTATCTCCTAAACTAATCTTATTTCACAAACCTAAAATTAATCAGATCTACTCTAACCTAATGATTCCCTCCCTTTATTTCCCCATCTCCCTCCTTCTCTCCTCATTTACTGACTTCCCCAACCACCAAAAATTAATTTCTGATGGTTGGGTTTCCCTTTATGTTCATGAATCTTCTTTAGAAGATGAACCCTAGTTCATCGTTTCCCACCTTCTCTCTCCTCTTTTACCTCGATTCTTCCTCTCCTTCTTTCCAGATCTACTCTTCACCACACCATTTTCTGAGAAAAAAGAGTCCCCTACGAAAATGCCTAACCTTGATCCTTTGAAAGATGCGTACATAGAAACAAATGATAAGGGTGAGGAGAATCTGATCAACCACTTCCTCCATTGCTTTGAAACTGGCAACCCTTTTCCTCGTGATTTCTACGAATCCGCTGAAACTGGTGGCTACTGTACTCTGTACACATACAGAGCTTTGGGTCAAGTCCTAAAGAGTATTGATGAGGAGGAACGGTTGAAGAGGGAGGAGGGGAAGTTGAAGAGGGAGGAAGATCCTCTTCCTATGGTGGTTGAATCTGGCTCTGCTGCTCCTGCTCCTGCAGATCTGGGTTCTGTTTGTCCTCTTCTTGCAGATCTGGTGGCTGAATCTGCTTTGGGGGTTGTTGTAGCTCCGAAAAAAGGCCAGAACTAAGAGGCCTAGGTCACCCCCCAAGGTCAGATCTACCAGGAAGGCGGCGCGTGTTGCTCTTCGGAGGATGCGTGGGCTTCCAGACCATGAGTACATCATCCTTTCTTCTGATGAGGATGAGGATATGGAGGAGGCTTCTTCTTCTCCTGCCAAGCAGCCTGAATCTGGATGTTCTTCAGTCCCTGTGGTCAACTGCTATGTGAGGCGGATGAACCGTTCGGTTCAACCCTCTGAGTGACTGCTTTCGTAACGATTCCTAACCCTAATCTCTTTCATTTATATTCCTGAGTCCCTCATATATCTTGGTTGGTTTGCTTTGATTTTTTGCATGTGTTCTGGGCTACTTTGATTGTTTTTTACTGGATTATATTGTTAGTGGGTGAATTATATGAGTCATGTTGCCCATATGCTGGTGGATTGTTTTTTTTTGGGTGGATCTGTTGGATGAGCATGCATGTGGCTTAATTATAGACCATGTGTGGCTGGAATGTTGTTCATATTATGTTTTAGTAATAATGATGGTGATATTGTGAGTAATACTCATGAATGATATGGTGTACTCTGTATTTTTGGCTGTGATAATGTTGCCTTATGCTGGTTGTCTGATTGAAAGAGTGTTGCCTTGATCTCTCTGTTTGTGTACTAAGAAAGATGGAATAAGGGATTGTGATTGATGAATGATGAATGCTGAGTTCAGTTTGGTTTGTTTGTTTTGTTGTGTGGTATATACAATGTTCTCAATGATCATGTTTTGTAGAGAACAATGTCTATGGGTTGGTGTTCTTGTTATAGCAGTGCTTCAATGAGTCCCCCCCTTCTGTTATTTTCCCCGTGAATGTGTGGAGTCCCCCTTGTCTGTATGAAATTCCACCCTTAGTGACTTGTATGGTTCAAATGATGAAGGGACTCCATTGAATTTCACTTAACACATTTGAGTTGCTCCAACAATCTCTTGTTTGAGATTGTTGTTGAGGTAACAATGTTGTGAAGTGTAGTATTCAATACCATTGATAACCTTTATGATGGACATGTATTGCCATAACACTTCAAAAACTTGTCTTTGTCATTTCATTCATACAGTGATTACAAAAGTTGATGCACATAAACAAAAGACTTCACATTTGACTGCCTAACATGTTAGTTTAATCTAAATCACCAAAATACACCTAACCACCTATTCATTAACCATAGCATAAGGGGAAAAAAAAAAGGTTAAGTGGTTATGTGTGGCAGTCAATGTTGTCAGTGTACAAAACCTGGTTTGTGGCTTGAGTCCCCTAATCTGCATCCACTTCCATATCTTCTGCTGCATCTTGAGTCCCTTGAGTGGTTGGCCTAAACATTGTGTTTAGGTACTCTACACTTCCCAGCACTATGTCCCTTTGCACCTCCACCTTGTCTGGCAAAATGCCCAAATTCTCAAGCTTTTTTTTGTTCATATGAGGAATTTTGTACTTGTTACCCCCCTCTGCTTGCAGTATCATGATCATGCATTTTTGCAAAGTGATCCAAATGTACTTGTTCACCTCTGGTTTGAATGTGTCATAAGACTCAATGACCTTGTCCACTAGCTCATCCAAGTTGCTAGGAAATGGTTGGTACTGCAGTGACTGAATAGACCTGAACAATCCTAAGTCTAGCACATTCAAGTCTGGTGACTGAGGTGGCTGAAACACCAGTTGAATGTTGAACCCATTTGCTGTAGTAGCTTCAATGAATTCTTGATCTTTGGGTATCTGGTGTGTTCTTGCATTGTCCCATTGTATTGTGACATTTTTTCTTAGACTTTGTGGCCATTTTGAGATGACTGGTGGTATTACTTTTGTGAGCAACATTTCTCTAATGACCTCCCTGTTCACATTTTGTATTGCCTTGGTCTCCCATGTTCCTACAGGCCTGTTTTTGCTTGATTTTTTTGCTTGCTCTTTGACTGTGAAAGGAAACATGCCATATTTCCCATCATGTAGTAGCTCCCCATTTCTCCCATACAATGGCTTTCCCACTACTGCCATAAACATTGCCTTTAGTTTGAATCTTCTTGACTGTTGAACTCTGTGTGGGTCTTCCTCACTTGGAAGGAGATAAAATCTCCTTTTATCTGGATTAAGATAAAACCATTTCTCAGCTATGTGGATGACATGGTCTATATCATCAAATGTAGGGTCTTCATTCCCAATGATAGGATTAATGTAAGACAGAATCCATTTCAGTCTTGCAACTTTGTGGTCACTTGTGAGAGTTGGCTTGTTGCTGCTTGTATGTGTTCTGAGCCTTCCTTTTTTTTTTAAAGTTGTGAAGAGTAACATGAGATATCTTCAATGCTGCTGCATAACTCCTCTCTGTCTGCCTAAGGTGCAGAGGCACTGACTGTAGGAATTCATCAGTAAATTCCCTTGGTTTAGGCCCTGTTCTGCCATACTTCTTGGACCTGACATCAATCACATCACCTTGTTCCAACTGTTTTTGAATGTCCTTGAAAACCCTTGTGATTGTTGATTTGTGTACATTGAATTTGTGTGATAATTCTTGCATGTACCCTCTTGGTAAGTTGCCATTATGCATTTTAAGTAAGATTGCATCTACAATCTCCCTCTTCTTGTGCAAATCAAGTTATTTTCTGCTTGTTGCTGCTTGAATGTTGCCTTGATCTTCTGTTTGTTGTTGTGCTTGTTGATCATTGTCTTGCTGCCCCTGTTCATCCATTACTTCATCATCAGAATCATCATACAAGCCATAATCTTGCATGTGTTCTTCATAGTCATAGTAAAGCTCTGCTAGTTCTTCTTCAGTTAACAGTTGATCAACCTCCAAAAACACCCCTTCTTCTAACTCTGCCATGACATTTACTACACGTGAATTTTTCCAGCTCAAGATTGATAAAACAGGAGTCCCTGCTGGTTTTTTTTTTTGTGAAGAAGGGGCGTTCCTGTTAGGGTAAAAGGATGATGGAGGTGCCAAGCCAATGAAGCGTCTGATTTGTGAAGATCATGTGCAGCACTGACTTTAGTTAGGATAATTTTTTGGATATTTAGGGACTTAATGACTGTGATTAGTGCTAACTTTTGGAAAACTAATGGTGTAATCTTAAAAATTTCATGGCTTGTCTTTTGGGAGAAACATTGAATGCTTCTGTAATGAATGAGGCTCCTTTTATATGCCTCTTAAATGCTCATCTTTAATGCAGAAATCTGTTTTTTTTTAGATTTTGGTGGGAGTTTTGAATCTCCAAAAATTTCAAATTGTTTGAAATTTTGGGGAAATTTTAAGAGGGAAATCTATTTCCCTAAAAAAACTGACAGATTTCCCCACTCAAATGCAAGTGGGGGGTCAGCCTTTCTCTCTCCTCTACTTTAATTAAATCATCTAAACTTCCACTAGTTTTCACCCCTCAAATTTTGCATCGTGAACCGTAATCTGCTCCAAAGTTGCAGATAATATTTAACGGAGGTAGTACATGATAAAAGCAAATAATAGGAGATAAGTATTATCATGAAAACTAAATATTATAAGAATAACTTTCAATTCCCTTGTCTCATACGTCAAACCCCCTGCTTAGACTTTTAGGTTGTTCTATTTTGTTTTCTTTTATTTTTGGATGTATCCCTCATTTGCCAAAAAAAAAAAACAAACAAAAAAAAATTATAAGAATAATAACGTGTAGCTTAGAATTTTTTACCAAAAAGAAAAGTCTTTGACTGTTGAAATATTATTCAAGTAAACAGATTCATTATTTTTTAAAAAAAATATATGAATTTTTTTTTTCAATTTCTCCCTTTAATAATGATTGACTAATTATAATATATATTGTATGCAGAAATTTGAAAATGGATGAGAGTGGTATTAAAGTAGTACCATCCACAATAGATCTTAATATGGAGTATCAAGGTGAAGACAGTGAATACGATAGTTCCGATATGGACTTTGATATTAATTCGGAACCGGATTTTATTTGTGACGAAGTGAATGAAAATATTGATGTGTTGAGAGATGATGATGATACAAATGCAACTAATGAAAGTCATCCTATGCTAGAAAAACTTGCTCCTCCAAATGTAGGGATGATTTTTGCGTCTTATGAAGATGTCATTGGGTATTATCATGAATTTGGAAAACAAAATGGGTTCCAAATGAAAATCAGAAGTAGAGAAAATGTCAAAGGTACTGAATGTGGTAATAAGTATGATTGCACAAGGTTGAGGCTAGTATGTAAGAAAGAAGGAAAGTTTGTTCCTAGGGGGAAGGATCTATCAAAGCCTACACGAAGTGAAGTTACCGGTTGTAAAGCTAAAGTTATAGCTACATTTGACAAAAGTAGCGGGGAATGGAAACTCACCACGGTAGTGTTAGAGGAAATTATCAAAGATTAGATTCAAAGTAAGAGTGGAATATGAAGTGTCTTCTCTTGTTTTTCAATATTTGATTTCATCTGGGAATTGTACAGAGGTGGATACCAAAAGTTTTTTCAAGTTTTCCAAAAAACTCCATTATTTCTAAGAAACATTGGGAAGGGGTCAATCGTCTGTTTGTTTTTTTATTATTATATTTATAATTTTTTTTTGAGATAAATTTTGAATAAATGGGGTATAACCGTTTTACTCTAAAAAAAATATGTAGTGTAATTTTGGTTTTCTTTTCTATATGGTTGCGACATAATTACATGAATGGATTTTTTAAAATTTTTTTTTCGTTTTTTTTTTAAATACAAGGTTTGCCTTTTTTAGGAAATTAAACTATATACACCCTTTAAAAAAAATAAACAAAATACTAAATAATAACATATACAGGTCGTTAAAAAAAAATAACATATCAATTGGGAAACAAAAATTTTATCAAGTGTGTTTAAATTTGTTCAAAATGGAAGATGAAACTAATAAAAATGGGGGGGGGGGAAATTAAGCACATGAAATGGAAAAAAAAAATTCACATTAAATATTAAGGTAAAGTGATTATTTTTTAATTGCTTTGAAAAAAAGTGATTTTTTTAAATAATGAAAGAAAATGCTTTTAGTTTGTTCTAACTTTTTTTTTTTACAGGTAGATTTGTTCTAACTGAAAAATGAAGATAATAGAAATGAGAAAAAATAAAATTTAGCATATGAACTGGGATTTTGGAAAAATGTAATAGTTTATCAATACATGTTAAGTTAAAGTGATTATAACATAAATAATGAAACAAACTGCGTTTAAATTTGTTCAAACTAAAAGATGAAATTAGTAGTATACCGATGAAATTCATTGATATAAATCTGGGAAAATACATAAAGGTTAGTTTAAAAAAAAATAGTAAAATGTAACATTAGAATATATAATCTAGATAACAACACGAGATATAAAATGCATTTAGGTTTGAAATCGTTCGGTTTTTATTTAAACCAATTCCAATCTTACCTGAATAATGATTGGATTTGGAAAAATCGAGTCTAATCGGATCCTAATTTTGAAAACAGTTCATCTGATAATCCGATTTGGATCTACTCATCAAAATTACTAATTGGATCTGTATTTAGTTTAGATTTGTATCATACTTTTGGATTTTGGTATTTAATTACCAAGTCAATCATATGATTGCATCCCATGACATAATTTAGCTAGATTGACTTCTAACCAAGCACATGTTAAGTTCTTTGACCTAGGTTTGATTAGGATTATTCGAGCTCAAGTCAAACTTAACTGAAGCTTCAATTTGGCAATTCGAGTTTTGCATGATCTAAAATTTTGATGCTATTGAAAGACAGATCATATATAGGTGTCATGGATTCATAAGAACCTTCGATAAAAACATTCGATTGTAACAATATTCAAATTCAGATTCTAACAAACATGATAAATTTGGATCATATGCAGCTGAATTGAACTGTTTGGAGATGAACTAAACTGAATAGAGTTGAAATGAATAGTTTATGAGAAAAGGAAATTAGGATATAAGTTAAATTGAACTATACTGAACTGAACTGATTGGAGCTGAACTGAAATTAACCTTAAGTGAACATGCCCTAAATTCAAAAAAGTTCAGATGAAATCAATTCAATTCATTTCAAATAAGTTCAGTTAAGTTCAGATAAATCCAAATAAGTGAAATTAAAGAAAATAGAACACACCCAAAATCTTGGTTAAGTTAATTGCTTGTTATATTGTCGTACTCCCTCTGTTAAACTTCATCATCACGTCCCCTTCTAATTCAATTTTGTTATATTTCTGTTAAACCTAAATGTTAGTATATTTAATGTATCTAACAAAATTATGGGTCTGTTCACAGTTACTTAATTTCAGTTCAGTTTAGTTCATCTCCAATCAATCAATTTAGTTCAGTTTAGTTCAGTTCAGCTCCGTATTTCCTTCTCGCATAAAATATTCATTTTAGCTCAGTTCAGTTTAGCACTTCAGCTCCAATCAATTCAAGTTCAACTCCAATAAGTTCAATTCAGCTCAGTTCAGTTAATGTGAACATGCCCTATGTTTTAATAATTATGCATGAAACAACTTTATGTATGATGAAATATAAACAATTTTTCATATTCATAACATAAGCAATCATGACATAAAGTTTTCTTTGCTATGAAGGTTCACCCTTTTTTCCTTAAATAAGGTACGGAGTAGTAGCATACTAGTATACACCGTTTTTTATAATCGTATGTTATTGGATGTTATACCTTATCTTAATGCTTGGTTATTTCGCGTAATATGCATTCGTACAATCATACTCTTATGAGTAAAGTAATTATTAAATTTTTAACATTTTTTTACTATTACATTTCATAACAAATTTTATTGAAAATTTAATAAGATATAATTTTAAGAATATATTATACGTTGTACTCGTATCCTCTATTTTAAAAACTCCGGAGGAGGTACTCTCTATTCAAATCTTTTGAAGATGTGAAGAACCCGAAGCACTGTTCCTTAACAAATGTATCTTTATAAGAATTAATATTAACAAATGTATCTTGATAAGAATTAATATAACAAATGTTCCTCCCAAAAGCACCCGAAGAACAATTGATAGAACTTCATTCTTGAATATACTTCAATTATGTATCAACTAATAATAGAAATTAATATTATCATAGGAAACAAAGTTGATCGTATAAGAAATACCTTTCTAAGTCATGGTCATATAAATAGAGTTGTCTCCACTAGTACGATAAAGGGGTAGACCAAGTCTACCAATTAATCTTTCTCAAATATATATATATATATATATATATATATATATATATATAAAATTAAGAATGAAAATTAATGGTGCCAAGGGATTCTCAGTTATTCACCATGCAACCTGTTGAATCATTAGTTTAGTAGCTTGATGAGGTAAAATCAGTCATTGGGAGAGAAGGAACAACAAAAGCCACAAATACCAAAATATTATCCTCTTTCCTCCAACAAAGCATTAATTGTGTTTTGATTCCTTTCAATGACATGTACATGCCACATATTATAAGCAATGCCACATTGTTTGCCAACTCACATGGGTAGACTACCTAGTGGGTGAATTAAGTTTTCTCCCAAATTTTTTACTCACTTGTGTTATTGTCGTTTATTGTACTACGAGAGTATCGGAGATTTGAAGTATTGAGACTCCCTCCAGTTTTTATTTAGGGTCTATTCACATTTATTGAACTGAGCTGAGGTGAAATGAATATTTTATGAAAGAGGAAAATTAAGTGTTGAACTGAACTAATTGGAGTTGAACTGAACTAAATTTAAGTAAATGTGAACATGCCCTTAAGTGCGTCACTTTGATTCGTTGATTGGCTCACTTGTCAATGTAGACTATGTAGTATGTAGCTTTAAGTCTTTAACTAATGATATATTGGAATATTTAACTATCAATAAGTATGAATTATAAAAAAATTGATATTTGAAAACTATGCTTTGATACGATTCTAATGAATATTTATTGATTACGTTTTATGTTACGTGTAAAGCACAAACAATGGTCAAAGTGATGCATATGAATAGTGTCAATGTCAAAGTGGAACACTTAAATATAAACGGAGGGAATATATATCAAATGTTATTGTAACTCTTTATAAGTTGTTGGACTTGTTTTGTAATCCCCCGCATTTTTAAATATATTATAAATGAAATTATATTTTATTTATAATATTTATTTGTATTTTTCCGGAATTTAATTTCAAAAGTTTCAAATTATTTTGGGTGGAAAATTATTTTTATTACAATATGATTTTTATGGACCATCATTCTATAATTTATGACCAACTAACAAACCTAACCCACTTTATATACTTGATTGGCCCATTAATTTTATGAGGCTCAATCTTACAACTTGCCCTACACCACTCTCTCTCCTATAAATACCCCATACATCCCCAAATTTTTCCCCACACAAAAAGGTTAGTAAATTCTTTTCTCTTTATTTTTTTCCTTTATTTTTCCTTTTTTTTTCTTTTTTTTTCTTTCTTTTTCTTTCTTTCCTTCCTCCTTCACGTGAGAAAGACCTCACTGCCGCCCACAAAGTGCTGCTGCCGCCTGCTGGCTGCTGCCACACCGTCGCCCGCCGTCGGCGACCCACCAGCCCAGCCACCGCCGTGGCCTTCCTTCCCTCCTCCTTTGTTTTATTTTTTTTAGTTTTGCTTAGAATTGATTTAATTGTTTTGGGGTTTTGATTTTTTAGTATAAAGATTATATTTTTAGTATCAAAATCATGTTTTTGATAGCTTAAGCCTATAATTTCAGATTTTAATTGTGTTATATATTTTCAGATTTTATAATTTATAAACCTAGGGTTTTAATTTAATCAAATTGGGATTTTAGGGTTCTAATGAACAATTAATTTGGGGCTTTTGTTCCTATTGTATTTATAATGATTAATTAACCATAAAAACATGTTTTAATGGAGTTTTAAGGACTTTTAATCAAATTTATATTGCTGGAAATTTGTTTAAGTATTAATTTGTGATTATTGGTTGTTTTCTAGGAGGTGATTATTCCCTGGGAGACTTTAAGTGATTAAAAGTGGCACAAAGGATTGTTTATACGAGGTACGTACATGTCTACTTCGTTGTAAGTAGTATCATGTTTAGGTACCAAAGAAAAGAACTTAGTTTCATGATTAGAGAACACTTGGATGAAAATTGTTTGGTTATACATTTAATTAATTCATGTGCTTATGTTTATGAGACATGTTTTGGTGAATTGATTATATTTGTATGGAATTATGGATGCAAACATGTTGAATTATATTGGAGTAATTGTTTGTATGGAATGTTGATACAAGCATAATTTTATTGGATTGGTTGGATTATTAAAGGATTGGAATTGAATGGTTTAAGTGGAATGAATTTATTAATTATTCCACAAGGTTGTTATTTATTTTATTTATTAATCAAGTATGACTTGTTAGTAT